TGAGCTTCGGAAAGAAGGTCATCACAAACCGGACACTGTCCAGTAAGTGTTTCATTTTCACTTTTTATTTGAATCTCATTTTTTATAATCGTCATATTGTTATTATTGTTCTATACATTGATTTAGTTTATTTTTGTTTTATAATGATGGTTACAGTTAATATTTTCTTATTCATACAGGTCGCAAACCTAGCCCCGTTTGTATGCCGCTACCGGGTGGATTATCCAAATTTTGCGGACGAGTTTACAACATTGCTAGAGCTGGGGAAGAATTCAGAGCTTGCCTCGGCCTAGAGCTGCAATCGAAAAGTACAGTGGAGGCTGCTGTTCGCGTGTCTTGCTTCAAGTTTGGCCCAAGAGGAGTGACCTCGGAACCAGCTGATCCACTACCATTAGTTCCTCAAGATGAAAAGGCTGAGGACGACGATGATGATGATTATGAAGATGATGATACATTCGGACTCGGTGCTGATGAAGATGATGACGATGATGATGACGACGATGATGACGATGATGACGGTAAGTTACTCATTTTGTATTAAGAGGTTTTTTGTAATATTTTTAATAGTTTTTACACTGCTAACATTTGCTCATCTAATTTTCCAGGTACACTCGATGCCGTCAACGATGTAGACAGCGCGGATTACACAGGTTTCAGTCTTCTTGGAGAAGATATACTGGGAGACCTATTTGGATCAACAGGTGGAAAAAAATCGAACAAGAATAAGAAAAAACAAGCACCTGCCCCGTCTACCACAACGACCCCTACTACCAGGCGCCCCCGTCCCACACGACGACCTTCCAGAAAACCTGGTACGAAAACTACAACACCACGGCCAAGGCGCACCACTACTGTGAAAACTAGACCTTCCCCTGGAAACAAACGTCCGACTCGCAGACCAAACAGGAGACCGACTAGAAGGCCAACTACTGAAAGTACTTCTACGTCGATTCTGACAACTACCACCACTGTCAGCCCTGCACCTAGTTCAATTGCTACTTCTCAAGTAACAGAAAGAATTCCGGTAATGACCACTATTCTAGAGCAGTCCCAGGCACCAGTATCTGCTATTGCTGAAAACCCAACACCAGCTGTAGTAGTTGCTACTACTCCTAAAAGCGTTACTGACTTTGAAGATTCTGGACTAGAGATGTCGTTAGCCCACATTACTGGACAATTATCTGCGATGCCCGTTACACCTATGATTTCAAATGACGGTAAAGTTTCCAGCGTAATGGATAAAGAAGAATCAGCTAACTACGAGAAAGTGCTGACCATTACTCCAAAAACACCATCAACCATATCCTTCATACCAACTTCCGAAGAAACTGTAAATGAAGATATGATTCAAATTGTGCAAAGTCTCGACTCTGCTGAAAGGGAACCAATATCTGGAGACGAAAGTAGAGCTCAGACGTATCAATTTGGTTCACCAGTTCCAGACAGTTACTATGAAGGTCTAAGTCTACCAAAGAAGAAGAATAAGAACAAACAATTTAACCTACATGATTTAGACGTTCTTAATTTGAGTCAGATTGGAGAAACTTTGGGCGACGAACTAGGAATATTTGGTAAAAATAAGAGACAGAACAGAGATAACACAGATACGAAAGTACAGGGTGAGAAAGAAAAAGAACAAAGCAACGATTACGATGAATTTGTTGACACAATAAGTGACATGGCACTTATGATGAGGAAGGACGGCAATAAGAACCACAAAAACAAAAGGACAGGAGAAGACAAAACAAAATGATGCGCGAGTGGTCACAAGTATGACGTCGTAGTCAGGCTAGTTCTAAGTAGCTTTAAACTATTTATTTTTATACTTAACTTATTATATTGTGTGTGTTGTAAATAGAAAAAATTGTATGAGATTATTTATTTTGCATGAATGAGTAAATATAATTTCCAATATTAATTTTCACATTTATTTATATCCATTGTAATCCCAAAAGGTTTCTCTATCCCTGAATAAGTAAAAAAAAACATTAGAAAGACATAAACAGGAAAAGTATGTAGGTAAAAGTTGTTTCTCAATGAAATAATACTAATGGATTATTAGAGTAAAGTTAATTTAATAAACACCAGGCATTAATATGGGCACAGTTAATTAATCAAATTGCTTAATTTATTTGACAGCTCATTCAATTTGGAATATTAACATGTATCCATTTAATGTTTGTACGATCAGTGTTGGTGATTTTATCTGGTCATCTATGAATTTAACTATTCAGAAAAACAATACACCTAAATCAATGTTGATAAGGAATAACTATTTCGCTATAATAGAAATAGACGTAATTGCCATTTATCATTCAGTATAAATACGAAATTATGAAGAAACTATTATTTAATTTTGCTATCGAAATTTTGAAGGCACCATAAAATCTAAAAACATACATATTGTTACAGCTAACATTGCTATATTTTTTCAAATAGGATGTTTTTAAACTAAAAAAATCTATAAGATTTTTGAATCTGTATTGCCGTTAAATTTTAATAACACATTATGAGTTCTGATCTTGTATGAAGCCATAATGTATCATCTCCATCACCTTTTCAGCAACCTTTTGAAAAAACAAAAAAGAAACTCTTTGACGATGTAATTCTAAAATTATAATTATTATGTAAAAAATTGCATTCAGATCATAACAAATATTGTTGCATATTCAAATAACTGATGTAATTTGAATACATATTCAAAGACAATCAATGCACCAGTCATTCATATTCATGAATGAAACGAAAATGTTCGAAAACAATTTTACGTTGGGGTTTTTTATCTACCTATTCTAAATCCTAAAGCAGTATGGAAAGCTGTAAATATTTTATATTAGTAATAATTTATTATTCAGCATAATGCACGTATCATTGCGTAATAACGCGCAATAAACATTAAATAATACTCGATAACATATTGAACCAATACATATTCGCTTCACGCTTCAATATTGAAAGTAAGCAACATAATATAGTTTTAAATTTCAACTTTCTCTCGTACTGACATTAAAATTTAAAACTTGTTCCTATCACTGACTGTGCAGCTTAAAATAAACATAATGTTTAGTGGTCGACCGTTAAATACTCCCGGTTACTTGTTACGTCTACAATCCGTAATGAGGAGCCAGGCTTAACTGTTCAACTTTCCTACCTCCTTCATACAATGGGCCCTTCAATAAAACTGTTTAATATTGATGCTATCGACCTACCATTTAGGATCGGGTAAGAGATTTCATTAAATCATCCTAGCAATCTCATTTTATGGAATTAGTTATTAAATGTTTTTATTTCCTTTATTGCAGGTGACAAAACATACAAAGTGATAAAGTTCAAAGTACCTCACACAATTTGGAAGCAAGCGTTGCAACCAACTCCTGTACTTAAATCATCTGTAACTATACGTACCCATAAACGTCCAGGATGCAGATGACGAGGAATTTGAAAACGATGACAATGAGATCGAGGAAGAAATAGAAAATGATGTTCCAGCAGCAGTTGACACTGTTGTTCAAGCTGATAATGCTACTCAGGCGTTACAAGACCCTGTACCAGTAGCAACCACTGCAGCACCAGTGGCACAAAATCCGTCGTACAAGATGAAGTCGTCACTCAAGCACCTGCGCAAGGAGTTCCCGGTCAAGTCTCAAGGTTCCCTTGTACGTGTCGAAACAGACAATGTGGATGTTGCACAGGCTCTATTATGGATAGATTCAGAATGAAAGCGTGCGGAAACATTACCTTTGTACCAGAAGACTTTGTGTTCGACGTGAGGATGACTATCAACAATAACACTGTTGTGCGACGAAGAGTTTCAGGTGAGAATGAATAGAACCTCAGTATAAGAAAGTTTGTGTTCTTTTGTTTAAAAATTTGTGTGGAATACAAATGAGCTATTTTTAAATCACTTATATTAAACAAAGGTGCTAATAGAAAGTTATTTCAGCTAGCGACCCGCCGCCTATATGCTTCAATCCTCGAAGAGCCCCATTTGTTCGAGTTTGCATCGAAATATCAAACATTCAAATAAGGAACAGGAATGCCCATGCATGCTTAGACATCAACGCGGATATTGGAGGCTTCCCAGTTTATTCTGCGTCCTTCAGATGTTTTAGGTAATGATAAAATTAAGCCGTTAATTATTGACACATCTATCTACTTCGCCTTGATTTAGATTTTACATGAAAAAAGTTTTATTTTTTGTTTGAAAGAATGACGAACATAAACTAGAGTGCATGACGTTCAATTATCCATAGTAAAAAATAATGTTTTTCTTCGTGTAATTAGCATCAACGTTAAACATTGTCAAGTTTCTGATTTATTGTGTTACGGCTTTTTGACGACCACTTATATTCATGTTAATAATAGCATGTACACATATAATATATGATATGCCTTCTGTTATTTCCTTCATGATTCGAAGCCTGTTATATTTAAAATATATTTTTTATTTTTTTATAGAATGGGAGCATCTGGCATTCAAACAGGATTAAAGCCTCGACCAGTTTCATCTGGACCTAAACCAGTCAGTCTGTTTGGCAACAGCAATAATGATGATGATGGTGGGAGCTTCTTGGAAAACGCTGCTGGCAATGTGTTTGGAGGTGATGGCTTATTCGGGGGCGGCGGCTCCAGCGGCGACGGTCCTTTTGACGGCCTCGGCGACGCATTCGGAGACTTGTTCGGAGGCGACTCGTAACCCATTGTGAATTTACATTACATACCAGTATTTTACCAGTTGTACAAATTATTGTTAATAATGTAGTTAATTAAGTCTATTTATTGCTGTTAATAAAATATGTCAATTTAATTGAGCGTTCTATTGATATCTTGCATGGTGAATCAATCTGATGTTAACGTGAAAGTGTAGATAGTTAAAATGAAGTAAACAGATCTTTCTCTGCCCCTGTTGAACCGGTTCACTGTCGTGGATGTGAATCGAAGTGCCTTGCTTGTTCAGACGATACGCGCTCGCGGAGATTCGCGTCTCAAAACTAAACAAAATGTGTGCAGTGATTTTTTTATTCGCAGTATTCTGCCTACAAAATATACAAGGAGGTAAGACACAATGAAATACTCTATAATTAACATCGAAGAGTGCTGTTTTAATACTGGAAATTATATTTGTTACAGCAAAGCTAGGAGATAATGTAAATAAAACAAATGTGGGAGATATAAAGGGAATGGAAGTGCCTGATGATTTCCTGTTGATCATAGAACAATTACGAAGTAATTCGAGTTTGATTACGAACGCGTTGGCGACGGCGAGACAGAACCAGGATAGTCAAAATGGGACCTCTACGAACAATAGGCGTTGTGTATGTGACAAAGGTGTTTGTAAATGCTGTACTGGTTACTTCATGGACTTGCTGAAGCAGAAGGCTTGTATGCGAGTCACTTATCACCCGGGAGACTTTGCGTTCGACGTAGCCATGTCGCTCAACAACAGGGTGCTCTATGAAAACTCAATGTCAGGTATGCAAACACTTATATATCATACAAATATGCTAAATACTTTCAGCGGACAGTCACCTTTTAGTCTTTCAAAAATGTATTTTTTTTATCTTAACGATAATGATGGTGCTTATGCTAAGTATTTTTTCTAGTGCTAAGGTGAATGCCCAGTACCTATACAATATTTTATAACTCGATATTTTTATGGACCATTTAACTTTTTTGGAGATATAAACCAAAATAATAAAAAGAGAGTTAGTTATAAAATTGTCTTTATGGCAGTAATTATAACTAAATGTTCCCAACTACTTTTCAGGAAAGAATCCACGACCAATATGCATCAGTCCCCCAAGGATAAACAACTTGAAAGTTTGCGCGAAGTTCTACAACGTTTTTTTCCCGGGTCGAACTTTCACTTCTGTTTGGCAATGACAGGACACTGGCGGTCATTCGAACTCTTCAATTTCGCTTTTGACTGCCTCCGGTGAGTGATTGCTTCCTACATAATAAAGGAATTAAGCCTTACTTTCTACATGTTACGTAATTGCAGTGTTTGTTCACATTGAGGTACTTTCTACTGCATCATTCTTCCTCATTAACATCCTAGTAACTTTTGGAAGTAGATAATATACAAAATATTTCTTGGTCTTGTTTCTTGAAATGCTGTTGTCATAGTGTAGACCAGGGTTATCTGTTCTCTGCAGTCTAAACAGGGTTAAACATGGTGTCTAACCATTCCATTTTCGTGGCTGATTTCTAACTAGCTTCTGCAAGCGGCTTCGCCCTCATTCCCGTGGGATGAAAGCAGTCTATGTTATTCCAGACCAGACCATAATCAACCCCTGTTCCAAATTTCATCCCGATCCCTCCAGTCTTTTGACGTGAAAGAGTAACAAACACATAACTTCACAATCTTACAGATTTACAATATTAGTAGGTTATCCAATATAATAATAATATAGTCTTAACAAAAATTGGCCCTTGGGAAATGCTTTTCTTTATGGCATAAGCCGGTAAACGAGCAGACGGATCACCCGATGGTAAGCAATCGGCGTCGCCCATGGACACCTAGAACACCAGAGGCGTTACAAGTGCGTTACCGACTTTTTGGGGATTAGGAGTTTGAGGATCGTTGGGGATTCAGGGATTAGTGAGATTGGGAAAGGGGGAGAGTAATTGGGCCTCCGGTAACCTCACTCACATGACGAAACACAACGCAAGCGTTGCTTTACGTCGGTTTTCTGTGAGGCCGTGGTATCACTCCGGTCGAACCGGTCCATTCGTGCCGAAGCATGGCTCTCTCACACTTTAACGTGCATTTACCCAAAAGTACCACAAGTTAAAATGTACGGAACATTACGTGTTTATTTTACCTATGAAATCTTATGTATTTCTGTCAATGAACTTGTACTATCGCATGTCATTTTATAGTATAGGTATGAACAATAAATTATACTATAAATGGTCATAAGTCTCAGTTTATTGCTAGTTCAATTAAATTAATCATGAAAAGTATATTCTCTTGAATGTAAACGACTTTTTCACATGGTCGGTCAAAGACCTCTTTTAGTACCTACTTAAAGATTTTTATTTTTTCTTGTTACTAAAAAAATCGTTTGAATGAATATCAGTATAATTATGTTGAATATTGCATTAACCGCTATATATTTCTTACCCGGAAAAGATAGATAGGATAGGATTAATTAAATATACCTACTCAATGGGGGCTACCGTTTTGCTGCTCACCTGATGGAGGTAGTGTGAACTTCGATTAAGCAAACGTTCTCCTAAAACAGACTGCAAATCTACTACAGACCTTTTTATCTACGACGGCGAATTCCCCATCAATCTTAAGACTAGCACAATAATACAAAAATGCACATAAGTATCTATTTATCTACAGCTTACAGTGTCCTTACTAACGGCCGAAAACAATATCTGAACTACAAAAAATATATTTTTTTATTTTACTTACATAATGAAAATCTTAAATAAAATAAAAAAATAATATAAATATGTCTTTTGTTGCTAAACGGTTGCTAAATCGTGAACTTCTCACCCTTTCGTCCAATAGGGAATCAGCTAGTGTAACACCATTGATCTTTTAATATTTGACAGCTACAGTGATTGGACAAACTGACCTATGGCTAAAATAACGTCATCTGGTTATTGAAAAAGCTGTAGCCCCGGGCCCGCATTGCAAAGTCAGAATCAAAGTCATTTATTTCAATTAGACCAGAAAGGGACGTCAACAAAAATTAAAAGTGAAGTTGTGGCTCATTCCAAGGTGTAGATTCCTATGGAGAAGAACACGCAAGAAACTCCTACTAGGTTACTCTTTTTCAATCAGGTTTACAATACAATTGTATGGTGGCAATAACTTTATCAAGCAACAAGTACAAATACCTAAGAGATTAATATTTCCTAACACCTCTACTTTATTCTCAGGATGGGAGCTAACGGAATAGCGATGGTTAGACCGTATGATGATGTTGGTATTCCGATAGCCAACCCTCAAGGAGGAGTGGATGCTGTAGTGGATGCCGGGGAGGATGATATCGAAGATTATGATGAAAACGTCGTCAGGTCCATACTCAACCTCTTCGACCGAAGATAGGAATACGAGGAATAATAAAAATGCCTATGAACTACGATTTACGAAGCAGCTTATTTAATATTGAAACTATGTTTAAGGTTGATTTAATTTATTAAACTATTTATTTTTGCAATTCAAATTATTTTTCTACCTATGTCATAAGATTAAATAATAATAAGGGTCAGAGTCAGCTGGTGTTGTAGATGTTAAAAAACCACCCTATAGTAGAGACAATCATAGTTTACTGTAACGTTACAAACAACGCGGAGAACGAAAGATGGTACCGGGGCTCCAGCTCGAAGTGCAGGAACAGGGTGGTTTTTAGTCATTAAGAGTCTAACACTCTCTCTCGCCTTACAGGCAGGAGAAGTTACTTGTTATAAATAAACAGGATGCAAGTCGGCCATGAGCTAATTTTTGAATCCATAATAATTTAAGTGTCTCTATACAGAGTTGTCTGAAATTGGAAAAGCATATTATTTTCAAAAGACGGTATTCATTCAAATCATCACTTAGATAATCGTGCGTGTTACAATTACGTTAGCATTAGACAAATCGTCATAAATTATAATTCTTCATTGCATACACTTGTTCAGTCTTTTAGTGCGATGACAACTATAAACTGTGCATGGCCTGCTTACCTCAGAATTCAAGTCAGTTTCTAGTATTCAAGCTACAAGTCTAATACAAAATTATTTAGCATGTGGATGCAATAAAGGAGTCAATGGTGTTTATTGACTAGCTCCAGTAGGTTAAGTACATGAAACACTAGAATAGTAATTTCATACTAAACTAGCAAACCCGGCGAATTCCGTTTCGCCACCAGATGGCTTCATTTTATGTAACATTTCGTTTGGTGATTAAAAGATGAAGAAAACTCTACACCCTGAATTGCTTTGCTATAAACCTCACGGAGCCCGAGACCTTTCCAACGAATGCAAAACCGTGGAAATCGGTTCGTGCGTTCTGGAGTTATAGCGTCAGGAAGGAAAACCCGACTTATTTTTATATAGTAGACAGAAGAACACAAGGAGACACTATAGGCACACACCTACAAATGTATGCGAAAGTGCATGACGTACTTATACACGAGTATAGATGTTTTATGTCACGAGCGCGGGTGCGCCATACTTGTGTGGGTAAATGTACACACACATTGTCTTTGTTTGCGTACGCTTGGCAACGCCCAGTTTTGGCCGGCATCCCAATGAATGAGCTTTCTGCGAGTTACGCACACAAGCGCGCTTGTCTATACGCACTACAACTACAAAAAAATATGTTAAAAATAAAACATGAATATATAGGTACCTACACATAGTTATAAAGAAAGCATCTGCCTGTAATGTGGTTTCAGCGACTGTCGAGTGAGTGATGGGTGTCGGTCCATAGGTCAGCATTACTTGTATAAGTCGCATGGTATTAGACGCGCTTACAACAGTACTTGTCATGCGCATCATTACTCATTTTCACATTAACGACATGCGTGAAAATATATACGTGAAAATACATAGCCATTATCCGAACAGTGGTGGTATCGCATCGATCCGGTGCGCAGGAGTTTCTCTCGAGAAAGTACCGCAAGTCAGTTGCGCTCGAGCATCGCATACCTTGCATACAAATACTTTGTTACCTTTGGAAGTATCGACATAGGGTATCGGAAACCGATCATTTGAATTTGGTCCCTAGAGCTGTGGAGTTGAACAAACTTCATTTAAAATGAAAACGAAAATGTTTGTTGTGTTTGTTGTTATGTGTTTCATACATTTTGGCTCAGGTATGTACAAATTTTTTATTGGGCTTATTGATTTGTAAATTTGTGCTAAGTACTTAATTAATTAAGCATGCTAATTCCAAGAATGCGATTCGTGCAGTTCCCGATTAATCGTTAAGTTGATCATAAATTATATAATCAATCGTTACGGTCATTAATTCGACTAAATTGTGTGTTAGTGGACATTTTGTGACAAACACTTAAGTTTTTAAATGAAAACGTTTTACAACTGCATGCATTACCTTTCTATTTAACTTCCAGGTGATGCTTCTAGAATACAGAAGCATTTTAACAATAAAGAGGACAATTCAATGGATGTGACTGACTTCTCGATTTATTATGACATAGACTCTAACACAGTGAGTTGCACTTTTTATTATTTTACCAGTATGAAATTCTAAACAACTCCTGAGTATGGAATAGATGGAAGAATAGGTGGATGTGGTGTACCTTGTCGTGATGTGAGAACCGAACCTGCCAACCACGATACTAATCGCGCAGTCGCTTAAATATGACTATCACAGTCAAAATTATCTTACTATCGCACCCTCTTTATGTGAAGTGCACCACCGTCAAAATAAACACCTATCAAATCACGTGGCATTTGTGGAACAAAAGGACTAAATTGTAATATTATCTTAATCTTTCAGACAATAAGGAAGATGATGCCACGTCCATGGTACCAGCCTGGCTGGCGACTCCGACTGCCATTCAAAGGAGGAAAGTGCACTTGTGAGGAGCTGAAGTGCACCTGCTGCTCCGGAATGCGTATCCCAGCGTTCAACTTTGACAGACAAAGTGAGTAAACACTTGTGGAAAAGGCCTACCCAATGCAAAAACCAATTTTTTTAAATGTTTATTGAAGTACTCGAGATTTCTGACCAGAAATTTAAAAACCTAAGAATGATGGGACTTGGGTGGAACACCCCCAAAAGTTCTTAAGTACCTACCTGTTCTTTAGACGGTTCAATACTGTGCCTAAGCCTACAACGGTGTCTGTAACAAAACAAAGCCTATTATTATTCTTTATGAGATATTTATTTGTAGGTAGATCTAAAATATTTATTATTTATTTTCAGCATGCGCCGAGCTGACGTTTGATCCTGCTGAAGGATTTTTGGATTTGGACGTGAAAATGGACAATGAGAGCATTTTCCACAAATCTTATTCAGGTAAGAAAATGCTTTCAGTCTTCTTGTTATCTAATTCACATGGTAACCCTGTTAATCCTGCTTACTTATGGACTGAACAAAAATCTTAGAACTATATTCGAACACTTATAGAATTCCCAGAAATTGAACAGAAAGTATTTGTGTGACGATAGACTTGACCACATTTACCTAAATGTGGTCAAGAGACCTCTCTATTGCAGGTACAAACTCTAAAATTCAATCCTCAATAATTCTGATGTTAAATAATTATTATTTACAGCAAGCAACCCGCCGCCATTCTGCATTCCGATCCCAATACCGTACGTGCCCATCACTATTCTAGACATGTGCATTAGACTGTTCGAAATCACTATCGACTTTACAAAGATGCATGTCTGCATGGACTGGGACACCAGAGTAGACAAAGCTCCAGTTTTGGTAAGAAAAACGATTATTTAACATGTTAACCACCTCGATTAAATAACAATTAGGTAGTCTTATTTTACGTAACGGCGCGTCGCGATACGCGCGAAGCCTCAAGGGGCCATCAGACCACCACAGATGGGTCTCAATATGGCTGATGCCGATACGGAGCCGCGGAAGGGTTAAAGGGCTTAAGGGTTAAAGGGTTAAAGGGTTGAAACTCTAGCTCGAAGTGCAGGAGTAGGAACGGGGTGGTTTTTAGTCAGTAAGAGTCTGACACTCTCTCTCGCCAACCCAAGGCGGGAGAAGTCATTGGATGATTTTCCCCACTCAAAAAAAAGTCTAATTTTACGTAAGTAGGTATAGGTACTCTGATCCCTGTCACAGTGTTCTTTGAGACAGATGGTTCTGCCTCGAAAAAATCTTTTAAGACGCTGAGCTGTCGTTCTCGATTGTCAATATACGACATTGTTTTTGTAATTTTCAGATCCTTCATTTCGACTGCATGGACCTCGGCCTTGGTGGCATCAGTTTAACAAAACCAAACACCAACCAAATTACTGGTGGAGGCGCACCGAATGAACCACCCCAGCTCAATGGAGATGTCTATGACGCAGTGTCGGAAACTGCCAGTGTATCTACACAGCATCCTGTCTTTAACAATAGTGTTAAATATATCTAATTTATTATAAAGAAACCAGCTTTTTAATTGAATCAGAGCTATAACATTTATATGCCAAGCAATATTTTTTTTAAAAACCTTGTCCCACATTTGTATATTTTCATGTGTCCTATGTGCGTTTACAAACATACCTACAAGTTTACAAACACATGACACCCAGACCCGAAACAACAATTTGTGGATAACATAAAAGAGTTGTTCCGTGCGGGAATCCGACCCGCTACACGTTGCGCGGCAGCCAGTACCCAGCCACCGGGCCAACCGTGCAGTAAACTTATTTAACAATTATATATATACTAGCTTTTACCCGCGGCTTCGCTCGCGTCACAAAAGGATAAAAAGTAGCCTATGTGACATATACTTTAGGAGCTAGGTAGGAGAGCCTAGTGTCCTAGAGGAGGTTTCTTCTTATCTTCTAGTAGTAGTAAAACTCCGATGAGAGGTGTTGACAAGAATGATTTTATTTCGCCAAACTACGCTACTTATATTTCTATTTACATATTTACAACTAGACAAGATCAGATATAGTTAGGTAATAGTTTCGACCAATAGCGGCGCGCCGGCGTGCGCGGGGCGCGCGGGGTGCGGGGCGCCTCTTTGCACACGGCACTATCGGTTCCTTCCGTATAAGTATGACCGCGCGGCGCGAGCGCGCGCATTTCTCCGAGAGCCGGCGTTGAGTGAAGACTGAAGACTACCTACAGATGAATGAAGATGAATGCAAGTACTCCGGCCTCCGGCTCCGGCTCCGCTTGCGCTGCTTGGCTGCTTGCTTTACCAAACCGCTTCTTTCGAAGCGATCGCTCGCGGCACGGTGTGATAACGCTGTTGCCGCAGTGATGATTATCGTTTCTATGCAGGAAAGTCGAAAACTGTCTTTTTCAAGACAATTGGTTTCTGGTTTCTTAAAACGGAGTCAAAACGTAAACTGTCTTTTTCAAGACAATTGGTTTCTTGTTTCTTTAAACGAAGTGAGTCTATAACTTTGGTAAAGGTATTGTGGAAGGTATCTGGTATATGGAAAGGTATTCGGTGGTACTGGTAACTGGTAGGTATGTAGTCGTGCGGTGCGGCTACAGTACTCCCCCCCGAGCGAAGCGTACTGGGGTCTTGAGTCAAAACGCGAACAGGAAGAATCGTCAAGACTCTTGACGATTCTTCCTGTTCGCGTTTTTCGTACATCGCTGATGCTCGACGGAGGTTGACTGGGTTGATCCTGGATAGCCTCTGGTAGCGTTGCACAGTTGTCCGAGTTATCGTAATTAATGACGTAGGCAGGCTTCAGACGCTCGATAGACACGTTGGTAGTACCTCTAGGTGTTTGTAATGTGAAGTACTTGTCGCTTCTGCTGGAGACTAGGTACGGACCCTTGTACGGACGTTGCAGCGGTTTGCGAACTGCGTCGTCACGTACAAATACGTGGCTGCATGTTTGCAGGTCTTTGTGCACGAAGATACTCAGTCGGTTAGTGTGCGACTGATAAGCGGGCGTTAAGCTTGTGATAACACGATGCAAGTCAGCCACATAGTCGTTATCCATCTTCGTGTAGGTAGGCGATGGCGATATGAAATCGCCGGGTAGCCGTAGTTCTTGTCCGTAGGTAAGTTGAGCGGCACTAGTGTTAGTGTCGGTGCGCGTAGCGGCTCGTAGTCCCAGTAGCACGGTAGGTAACTCGATCAACCATTTGTTGTTGTCGGCGAGTCGAGTCATGAGCGCGGCTTTCAATGTACGATGCCAGCGTTCTACGATCCCGTTACTCTGCGGGTGGTAGGCAGTAGTACGAGTTCTTTCTACTCCCAGTAGCTGAGCGAGATTTTTGAATAAGCTGCTCTCGAACTGTCGTCCTTGATCAGTCGTGATTTTGATAGGACAACCAAAGCGTGATATCCATGCTTCATACAGCTTTCTTGCGACGACTTCGGCTGATATCTCTCGCAGAGGGACGGCTTCTGCCCAGCGGGTGCAGCGGTCGATCATAGTGAGTAGGTATCGATGTCCGCTCGAAGATGTAGGCAGAGGTCCGACGATGTCAATGTGTACGTGTTCGAAACGCTCGCTCGGTGGGAATGATGTGACGTCACTGTGCGTATGTCGATGTACCTTTGATTGTTGACACTGAATGCATGACTTTGCCCACTCGCCAATGTCGGTGTTCATAGACGGCCAGAAGTATCGTTGCTGCATTAGTTTGCGTGTAGTTCGAATACCAGGATGACTTGTATTGTGCACGGCGTTGAATGCGATGCGACGAAAGTCAACTGGTAGGTATGGACGAATGTGAGGCGTCGATACTTCGCAGTAAATCGGCTTGTTTAAAGTAGGTATGACGATTTTCTTGAGTTGAATATTTGTTTGTTTACATAGGTTGAGAATATTGCTGTCCTTTTCTTGTGCTTGAGATAGTTGTCGTAGTCTATCGGCGATGGTAAGTCGATCGTTTCAACGCGTGACAGTGCGTCGGCGACTACGTTGTTCGCTCCGGTCACGTGACGTAGGTCGGTCGTGAACTCGCTTATAAACAACAGCTGACGAGTGCGTCGTTGTGTGTCGTTGTCCGACGGCGGCTTGCGTATTGCGTAGGTAAGCGGCTTGTGATCGGTGTAAACAATGAGTTCTCTTCCTTCGAACATTTTTCTAAAGTGTTTGATCGCCATATATATTGATAATAATTCTCGGTCGAACGTACTATAACGTTGTTGTGTTTCTGAGAATTTCTTCGAGAAATAGCCGAGGGGAACCCACTTGTTGTTTACAAGTTGTTGTAGGACAGCTCCAGCACAGGTGTTCGATGCGTCACACATGAGTGATATTGGTTGAGTTGGTGACGAGGATGGGTGAGCGAGTAAAGCTGCGTTTTGTATGCTAGCTTTACACAACTCGAATGCTTGAAGTGCTTCATTGTTCCACTCGATTTTGTTTTATCGCGTTTCTTGGAGTTATGTAGAAATGCGTTTAGCGGCGCTTGTATGTGGGCCGCGTTACGTATGCTGTCACGGTAAAAGTTCACCATGCCGAGAAATCGACGTAGGTCCGCTATTGTTTCGGGTTTGGGGTAAGCAGTGATAGCGTTGACCTTATCAAGTGGAGGTTCGATTCCTTCGCTCGACACTTGATATCCTAGGAACTTGACGTTTTCTTGACCGAAGACGCATTTTGACGGGTTTATAGTGATACCGTAGTCATTTAGTCTTCGTAGTACTTCTTGTAGATCTTCGATGTGGCGTGCGTTGTTTTCTGACGCGATGATTACGTCATCAATGAATGGAAATGCGAAGTCTAACCCGTTGAGTACTTGATGTATGAACCGTTGGAATGTCTGTCCCGCGTTTTTTAAGCCTGGACACATTCGGGGAAACTCGAACAAGCCAAACGGGGTTGTTATGGCTGTTTTCTCGATGTCGGGTTCGTAAACGGGTAATTGTTGGTATGCACGATTCAGGTCGAGTGTGGTGAAAATCTTCTTGCCGTGGAGTAGGTATGTGAAGTCTTTGAGGGTACAGGTAGCGGTCGGGTTTAGTTACGTCGTTGAGTCTTCGGTAATCGCCGCATACCCGTATGTCGCCATTCTTTTTCGGGACGACGTGTAGTGGGCTGGACCAGGGACTTTTGCTTGGACGGCATAATCCCTGCTGCATCATGACTTCAAACTCTTTCTTCACGGCCAAGTATCGATGTGGGGGTAATGGCCGGGTTTTGCTATGTACAGGTGGACCGGTGGTTTCAATGTGATGTTCCACGCGGTGTTTGGGAGTGGTCTTCATGCATGATGGTCTTAGGATATCGGGGAATTGACTCAATATTTGATGATACGGCTGTTCGACGTCTATGCTTCTTACAGTTGGCTCGGCGGAATATGAGATTGGCGCTTTGACGGTGAGGTTGGTTACTTTGTCGACAAGACATCGACCGGCTATGTCGACGAGTAGTTGGTGGTGGCGTAGGAAGTCGGCGCCGATGATTGGCTTGCTGACTTCAGCGACGATGAATTTCCAACTATAAGGTCGGCGTAGGTTTAGGTCCAATTGTAGCGTCTTCTCACCGTAGGTAGGTATAACCGTGTTGTTTGCGGCGTATAAACAGAAGTCAGTTGGGGTTATCTTCACGCCTTTTCGTTTAGGGATGACGGAGACGTTTGCGCCAGTATCAATTAGAAATGACAGACGTGAGTTTCTGTCTGTTATAAACAGGCGGTATGACGTAGTTGTTGCGCCGGTTTCCGCCTCATCCAACGCACCTTTTAGTTTTCCGGACGGGTGTTGTTGTTCTGGAAATTACACGGACGTGTGCATCGCTGTGCCTCCTTCCCGAACTTGCGGTGGTAATAACAAATTCCAGAAGATTCCGTGCGGCGTGGAGTGTTATCGCGCTGTCTGGACTGGGAGCGATATCGGTTCGATGATCGCGATCTGTTCTGAGGTCGTCTCGACTGACGGTTGCAACGATGGTTAGATTGTGCTGCTTTGAGTTCGGCGATTTCCCTCGTAAGCATATCGATTTTGTCTTCAATACTTGTAGGTACACGGGGGAAAGCGGGGTTTTCAGTCACAGCAGCGACTGTGCCATGAGGTTGCGTCTGTTCGAGTATTTTGTCAGCCATCATCGCTAGATCGTGGATGTCCGAGTGTTTAGCGATGTTGTCGCTGACAGCGAGGACTGCGCGCACGGACTGGGGGAGGTGGTTTGTCCACATAATACGAAGCGCAGCGTCAGATATTATCCGCGGCGAGATTCTTCATCGGCGAAGTAACTGTGATGGTTTTAAGTCGCCGAGCTCCATCTCGGAGAGAAGGCGTTGAACTTGACGCTGTTCAGACTCCTCATAGACCTGGAGTAGTCTGTTTTTGAGGGTTTCGTAGCGGTCTCTCTCCGGAGGATGAAGGATAATGTCGGATATTTCATCGAGGTCTTGTCTTTCGAGATGACCGACGACAAGCTCAAACATGGCTTGGTCGCCCTTTTTCTGCGGAGACATAATCGCCTCGAACTGCGCAAACCATAGGCGTATTCTGTCGCGCCATATGGGTGGGATGCGCAGTGACGTCGACACGCTGGAGAGTTCCGGCGTTTTTTCGTTGGAGTTGGACATTACGACGAGCTTGATTTTCTGTAGTACTAGGCGGCGATTGATTGATTCTTGCAGAGATCCGTTGGCAGCGTCGGGGTCACCAGTTTAGGAGCTAGGTAGGAGAGCCTAGTGTCCTAGAGGAGGTTTCTTCTTATCTTCTAGTAGTAGTAAAACTCCGATGAGAGGTGTTGACAAGAATGATTTTATTTCGCCAAACTACGCTACTTATATTTCTATTTACATATTTACAACTAGACAAGATCAGATATAGTTAGGTAATAGTTTCGACCAATAGCGGCGCGCCGGCGTGCGCGGGGCGCGCGGGGTGCGGGGCGCCTCTTTGCACACGGCACTATCGGTTCCTTCCGTATAAGTATGACCGCGCGGCGCGAGCGCGCGCATTTCTCCGAGAGCCGGCGTTGAGTGAAGACTGAAGACTACCTACAGATGAATGAAGATGAATGCAAGTACTCCGGCCTCCGGCTCCGGCTCCGCTTGCGCTGCTTGGCTGCTTGCTTTACCAAACCGCTTCTTTCGAAGCGATCGCTCGCGGCACGGTGTGATAACGCTGTTGCCGCAGTGATGATTATCGTTTCTATGCAGGAAAGTCGAAAACTGTCTTTTTCAAGACAATTGGTTTCTGGTTTCTTAAAACGGAGTCAAAACGTAAACTGTCTTTTTCAAGACAATTGGTTTCATGTTTCTTTAAACGAAGTGAGTCTATAACTTTGGTAAAGGTATTGTGGAAGGTATCTGGTATATGGAAAGGTATTCGGTGGTACTGGTAACTGGTAGGTATGTAGTCGTCCGGTGCGGCTACAATACCAATACACACCATCTATACCAATACTTTTGTTTTCCCTCGCGAATATCGATTTTTCCGGGATAAAAAGTACCCTATTATTTAATCCAGACTTCTAACTTTATATCTGCAAAGTTTTAAAGCAATTGGTTCAGTAGTTACGGCATGAAAGCGGAACAAACAAACAAACTCGCTTTCCGATTTATAATATAAGTAAGGAAAGTAAGGATAACAAGCTTATTCAACAATTAACAAAAATCCTAAGAAAACACAGATTTCCATAAATATACACATTAGTAATGATAATACGCATTAGTAATGAAAATACTCAAATCAAGCTATTTATTTAAAATGATTACTTGAGGCCATTAATCTACCTCTGTTACGAATTTCATCCCGGTCCCCTATGATAGGGTCAGCAGGGCGGATGTAATGCCCTAAGTGTTGCAAGGTTGCAAGCGTTCATAGGCGGTAACCACAAATCAGGTGGGCCGAGTGATTTTCTTACCACCGTCGTGGCATAACAAATGTGACCAAGTAACAAACATATACCTACACAATTTCAATGATAGCAGTTCAGCTAATTTGGACAATCGGGAATAAAACAATTAAAAGTAGGTACCTACCCAACATGATGCTCAGAATAATAGCGTATAATCACATCAAGTTTCATCGTAATCGGACCGGTACCTAGTTTTTGAGTGATCCGTGAACATACAGCCAGACAGATAAAAAGTTTTAGAATCACGTTTTTGAGTTCGGTGCCTATTTAGTAACACCCCTACAATTTTTTTTTCTATGTACAGAATTAATACATCTATAGTTTTTTTTAATATACTTAGATTCACTTTTCCTTTTACCCTCCAAATCAATATTTATTTGAATGGAACAAAGATTTGTTCACTTCTTTCTTCACTTTTAATATTGCTCGGATAGTCGGAGTAAAAAGACCACTTTTTGAATGTGAAGTCATAATAATATTTTATAATGCCTAATACATTCAGCAATACATTCAAATTTTAGTAATAACAATTAAATTGCATCCTTTTTTAAAGTATGTTATATCCTAAGTTACGTAAATTATTTCCATCGATAATTACCATTATCAGTAGTCATTTTTAATTCAAATAATTTTCTACCACTTTTCGATAAGATCGACTAAATGCGATCAATGTACAGCACTATGACAACGAAAATGACTTTGACATTTGATAGAATTTCGAAAAAAAAGTAAGCCCTTGAAAGGCTTGAAAGAAGGTGTGGAAATTAAAGAGTTGAGGGTTTTAACTTATTTTTATGCATTTGTAATTATTTATGTAGCAAGTCTTCCCCCAAATTTAATGGTAATTTAGTCTTCCTTTACCTTAGATTCTGAAGTGCACTTTAAATGGGCGATAATGATGATTATTATGATGGTGACGGGTTAGTACAGTTTGCATGTTAGCTAGTGTTATGGTATCAATTTTATGTAGCTCCTATAGATATTATTGATTAATCTGGCAATTTGTGTTATGGTCTGTTGTATACGTGTCTTGTTGAGTAGTAAGTGTAGTGTAGCGCCGGCTTTTGGTTTTTAGTATCTAGTTTTTATGCATCAATGTGCTTCCACTTACACACACCGGCGGTCATTACGCCCAGCTTTATGCGAATTATTTTGCAATTATCTTATATTTTCTGTATACGTAGTTTGTATTGTACTTAGCTGTTCAGTGGGATGTACCATTATTATTACAACTTATAACTACTTGTGTTTTATATAATACCTACAACAATATTGATGTCCACTCACTCAGTATGGAGAACCGAGAAATATGAAAATGTTTAGAGCATAGAAAACAGATTTTTTAATTGTGTATGTACAAAATTATGTGGTTTGTATAACGGGTAACCACTTGCTTGTATAACTGAAATTTTGTCACTGGCTTAAAAGATTTTACATTCTTTTTTATATTTTGCACTTGATATTCTCAATTAACTTATTCAATCTATAAAACAATATCAATTTAAATCTATGAAATTCCCTATTTTCTTCAATTCCAACTGTATAGCTGAAAAACATATTACAACTGCATGTGAATCTGTTTTGCCTAAACAGGTCTACAATCACTAAACACATTTTTGTTATAATGTTTTGTTTAGGAGAATGGATTCCTTGGGGGCGACACCCGAGGTCATCTACAACTGGGTTGACATAACATCGGATTTCTTCAAACATATCCAAGGTAATTGTTACATTTTATTAATGTTCAAGTTTTGTGTTGACGGTAAACAAAAATAGTGCTGAACTTTATTATGCATCCCAGCAAAAAAGAAAATAGTTGTCTGAGTTTAGGGCAATCTGTCAATGACATTAGTACTAGCTGCTTACCTTACTTAATAATAGAAATTGTGATGTAAGCTGAGATAATGTTCAAAAAATCTTCAGCAGCAAGAATTGTCTCCATAAAATACTTTTTCTAAAATTCGGTATTGTTTCTTACAGACCTTCAACTCGGAGAGTTGCTTCACGATGGCCACTTATTTGGTCTCTTTGAGGCCATGTCGGCCATCGAGATGATGGATCCTAAAATGGATGCAGGCATGCTCTGCAACCGTGGAAATCCAAAACCACTGAATTTTCAGCAAGCTGTGGCTGTAAGTATTGGATGTTCGTAACCAAATTGCAAATGTTTTGTTTTTCTATGTGAAACTGATTATATGGGACTGAAAACTGTATGTTTAATTACATAATTATACCCATTTACATAATTACAGCCACATATTCACATGCATATGTGGTTCTTACTCTACTGGTTATTTTGATTTGACACTGTCTATATAGAATGCCAAAAAATAAATTTTGTATGAATTTGTTTCTTTCATAGGCTGGAAAACTGAAGATAGATGATCTTGAGCCGCCTGAGCTCATAGGCATCATTGATGCCACAATGGCTTGCATAGTGTCGTGGCTGGAAGGTCACTCGCTAGCACAAACTGTATTCACAAACCTCTACCTACATCAACCTCACTCCATTGTAAATAAGACCTTAAAAGCATATTGCATTGCTGTCTACAAACTGCTGGACTGTATCAGAGATTGTATTAACAAGTAAGGCGATCTTTTTCTACATAATATTTATTGGAATGTAATGAAATTTTATTTGTGTTTGATAAGTACATTTATGAGCATTGAATTATGGTTTAAAATAAATTAGAACTTAAAAATAATTCACATTTAAATTTTCAGGGCTCAGGTATTTGAAGAGGAGGACTTCCAACCAATGGGCTATGGTTATCGTCTTGGCTCGAACCCGCAGTCAGGAAATACGTATGACGCTCGTCTTGAAGTGAGCGAGCAGAAGTGTGTACTCATGCTAAGAGAACAGGAGGAAGAACTCAACAAGAAGGCTAGAAGTTGTGATGATGAGGTTGGTGAATCTATGCTTTTATGGCTTGGTTTGCAGAAATGCAGATCTGAGCGAAAGCAATTTATTTTATATTGTGGCTCATGTAGCAGTAGTCGCGAGGTTCCATACAGCACCAATATTACGATGAACATTAATGTAAAATTTTGTGAATGTGACATGTTTCATTTGGATTAAATCTCAAAGAAACTTGGTACAAAGATAGATTAAGTTTAGAATAGAGTAGTGAATTAGGCTTTCTTTTAAAACGGTTGACATGGACCAGTGTGTTCATTATCATTTTAGATGCCCTTATTTAGAGTAAAATACATAGTTACCATACTATGTAAAATCTTGAAATCTTTTTTTTACAATGTCTGGCATATTTCGATTGTCACACTTAATCAGACATTATGAAACAGGCTCTTAATTTATTTTTCTTTCAGGATAACTTATGGGCAGCTCTTCAAGCCCGTATTAGATTTACTAGGATGTTTTACCGAGCTCTCCTCATGATCACAAAGAGAGACTCCCAGTCTGGAGCAGATTGTGTTGCTCTTCTGAATGGCTGCTCCGAGATGATGAAAGTCATTATCAAGACCTCGGGGAAAGGAACACAACCTGTGGAGAATTGTGAGTTTTATGCATTAGTTGTAGTTAATGTTTTTTGTTAAAATGTAAATAGGTGATTGGATAAGTTTCAGTTCAATCATCTACTATGGATTATCAAAATTTCACCATTATTTATGTTATTAGACACAGAAATGAGATGGAATTCATTGTTTAGATGAATGCAGACCACCAGAAATCGTTTTTTGGAGGTACACAGACTACCATTAAACTTTAAAGCCACAAGAACTCTTCAGTACCTAAGATAATGTTTATGAAATAATTAATTCTTAATGTTGCAGCCGATTCACCAAACCCAATGGGGTTCGAGCCGATGATCAACCAGCGCTTGTTACCGCCGACGTTCCCGCGCTACACTCGCATCAAACCTCGGGCCGAGGCGCTGCATTACTTCGACGAGCTAGTGGCCAGGCTGCGACACGCATGGAAGATCACGTCCTGCACCAACTTCCATACCGCACTGGTAATTAACTTTTTTATTTACTTACTAGCAGACTGTTTATTGATTATTATGTTTTCGGCTTACTCACGTAACTGTTTGATGAGGAACTCGACTAGTGACAGTCGCCGCGTCACGAGTCGCAGAATGCTGCTCATGAATATGAGCCTCTAGCATGGCTTGAAACTAGTCGAGTTCCTCGTAAAACAGTTACGTGAGTAAGCTGAAAATATAATAATTAATTTAGTATGTCTCACAACAATTATAATATAGACTGTTAATTGAAATAATTACAGATTTTTTTTTCAGTTTTGTTATAATGCCATTGTTTAGTGACATTTGTTACAGTAAAGTTAATATTTTGTCGATTTGAAGTTCTACATACTGTTGGTGAAAAATCAGCGACAGCTCTAGTCATATTACGGGGAATAAAAGCCATTATAGGTATTCGACGTAATATTTTACAAAACATCTGACATTGCAGGACTTCTTCATGGAGTTCAGTAGGCAGCGTGCCTGCATCCTGTCCCGGTCGGCTCTACAGTTGTTGTACCTCAGCCCGTCGCCTGCCAATACAGCGTCCATGGCTCAGAGCGCCATGAATGGACCCGTCGGGCAACCGAGACCGCAACACCCCTTTGTAGAGATACTGAGGGAGTCCGTCAAGAACTTCGTCAACCCACCTGCGTTAACCCCCAAGTCGCCTATGGTGTCTACGCCGCAAGTAAGTCTATTTTAAAAAAGAGTAACGAATGGAGTTTCTTCCTCGTTCTTCTCCATTCGAATCTACACTTTGGAATGAGCACCTAGCTTCACCTAATTTCACTGACGGACTGACTGACAGACTATTATTTATTTTGTATTTGTTGACGTTTCAAAAGTACCAAACTATGGTTTAATTGAAATAAATGCTTTGACTTTGACTTTGACTTTATTGTGATTACTAGTAAAGATAAGGGATTTAGATGTGACTTGGCTCTTCCTTTCATTCACATTCCTAGGTCTGTCAAAACTTTCTTTTGTTTCATGTTGATATTGGGTAATTTTACCGTAACAATGATTGTGTTGATTAGTGCGTTTTTGTCTGTTGTTAGACTATTTTTTTGTCAATTATGATTACTTCGGCATCATCATCAACAGCTTATAAATGCCCACTGCTGAGCAAAGCCTCTTCTCACATGAAGAAGGTTAGAGCATTAATCATCACTTCCGCATCACTATCTCCAAATTCATTAATATTATACTAAAAGCCTACCTGCTGCTTGCGAGTTCCGGGTTGCAAGTGCGACTGCCGGGCATGGAATCTCGGGTTCGATTCCCGGGTTGGGGAAAGTATAACAGTTTTTTTTTAAACTCAGTAGTAGCACGTAGTCTGGAATTGTGCCCGGTGTATTGCAATAGGCTAACCCCCAATTACATGAGACTCATAACATAAATAGTGAAAAGTGGGTGCTACATTGTACAGTGGCATTAAGTGCTGTAATGTGCACCTTTGCAGTGAAGTTAATTTATGTATATTAAAAGCGAAATATTATAGTTCTGTTTATTATGGTGACCCTTACAGGCTCGTGAGTTCGTGGAGAACTTCCTGGCTCGTTGTGTACGTCCGTTCGCGGTGTTGCTGCAAGTATGCGGACACAACCGCGCGCGACAGAGGGACAAACTCGCGTTGTTGTTAGACGAGTTCGCTGCACTGCAGGAAGAGGTAATATTATTTTATTGCATACTAGCTTTTACCCGCGGCTTCGCTCGCGTCACAAAAGGATAAAAAGTAGCCTATGTGACATATGCCAATACATACAGCGCCATCTATACCAATACTTTTGTTTTCCCTCGGGAATATCAATTTTTTCCGGTATAAAAAGTACCCTATTATTTAATCCAGACTTCTAACTTCACGTCTGCAAAATTTCAAAGCAAACGGTTTAGTAGTTACGGCGCGAAAGTGGAACAAACAAACAAACTCACTTTCCGATTTTAATATTAGTAAGGATTTATTTCTAGCTAGCTTCTGCCCGCGACTTCGTACGCGCAGTCACGTTTTCTCCCGTTCTCATAGGATTTTCGGGATTTTTTCTGTCGTAAGAACCTTCTCCTGACAATAACAAACACAACAAAAAAAGATCAGCCAAATCGGTCTAGCCGTTCTCAAGTTATGGCGTGACAACGGAAAACGGGTTTCAATTTTATATATACAGAGTACTTGCCTTAATTAAAAATAAATTATTGTTGTCGACTGCTCAATACAATAAAAAGTTAAAAAATAATCACACTTTTATTGATTGATTTTATGACCACCTTAATTTAAGTATTTCTCCAGCAAATTTTTAAGAACTAAGTACCTGTATGACGTTTAAAAAACGTGACGTCACAATACACAACGTTTTTGACAGTTCGAAAAAGTATTGAATCTGACTAGTTGGCAAGTTTGTACCCAATTATAGTTCATCTAAAATATTGAACTTAAATATTTAACAGTGGCATTTCCACTTAACAAACTTGAACATTTTCAATTCCGGTCTTCAATTCACCTGTAGATTGTCTTAAACACCTTTTATGCAAAGGAGGGCCTTAGCCCAGCAGTCCTGCCGAGGTCTATGAATGTGCCACAGAAAACCGTTCTTAAACTAGATTCCTTTGTAGCAAAAACTACGTAAGTTTCATTTAAAGGAAGACGTGGTTTTAATGACTTCAGGGTGCTTACTCTTGAAACCAATCTCAATGTTAATGCAATTTCAATCAAATATATACTCAATAATGATTCATTGTCAACACTACAACCCTTACCGTAGCCGTTGAAATAGCATTCAGAGTACGGAATATAAAGCCAAACTCAATACCATTTAGTTCATTCAATATCCACGTAATACGGATGCAATGGGCGCTAGTGTTGTAATTCAAGAGTACGAAATTTCATAATACCGATGTCGATCGATCGGGATTGGAGTCAAGAGTAAGTATTCAAGTGACGTGTATGAGGGCGTGTGCAGGCGGAGAGCGTGGACGCGGTGGTGAGCGGCGCGGCGGGCACGGGGCCGCGCGCCTGCTTCGGGACCTGGCTCCTCTACCACGTCCTGCGCGTCATGATCGCGTACTTACTGTCCGGCCTCGAACTCGAGCTCTACAGCGTACACGAGTACCATTATATTTTCTGGTGAGTATGTCTTGGTGACAACACACACATACATACATAACATCACGCCTTTTAGCTCCGTGGTAGGGAGAACTGCACATTACGACACTTAATGTAACTGTACAATGTAACATCCACTTTTTGACTATTTATATTATGAGTCCCATGTATTAGGGGGTGAGCTTGTTCCCGGGCACATTTCCAGACGCTATGCTAGATACTACTGAGAAATTAAAAAAAAACTCAGTAATACTTTACCCGACCCGGTAATCGAACTCTAGACTGACAGTCGCACTTGCGACCACTTGGCCAACGTGGCAATTGTTGACAACATAATGAATATTTAGATATATAAGGATTGGGTCTTCGATTTTCTGAAATTCTCAATAATAGTTATCATGTACGGACTATTTGCGTAAACCGTGTCCTCTATTACACGTGGCTTATGATATCATTTTTGAGACGTGAATGTTACTTTCCTTTCGTGCAATATAAAGCTTTATGTAACATTTTATACTCAATATTCAAGTAAAACTAACAGCAATAAAGTTTTGTCCCTATGGTCTAAAACTAAACCAAACTTAACAGTTCGATTTACTTATTAATATTTAGTTATTATCTAAAATTACAGGTATTTGTACGAGTTCTTGTACGGATGGTTGGTGTCAGCTCTGGGTCGCGCGGAGAACCTCTCCGGCGACTCAGGACGACGCGACAGTCGCGAGTCTCGACGTAGGAAGACCAAGAAGCGGGTGCGGCCCTACGCCAGAGAGGGACTCCTTTGCAACGTCATGCAGAACTTGTGCGGGGGATATTATAAGGTACGCTATCTTGAGTTTTAGAACTTGTTATTCTCTTCTTCTCTGTCGTTTCGCTCTTGGGAGAGCGGTCGTGATCACGTTGAGGCGGCCGTATTTGTGTTGGAGGCCGATACAGCTTTCCTCACGATCTCCCGCCATCTCTCTCTGTTTGTGGATTGTCTGGCGCAGTCTGACACTGGGTTTCCCGTTGCCGATTTGACCTGATCAGTCCAGCTCATAGGTGATCTGCCTCGTGATCTGGTTCCCTCTACTTTTCCCTGAACGACCAGCCGCTCTATGCAGTTGTTATCACGACGGGAGACAGGGCCAAAGTACTTCAGTATGCGCGTCTGTACTGTGTTATTACTGTCTTACAATAAAGAAATTTGATTTTGACATGATTGTAAATATCAACTGCCTCGTTGGCCGTGTGGTCGCAAGTGTGATAGCCGGGCAAGGGGTCTCCGGTTCGATTCCAGGGTCAGGCAAAGTTTACTGGGTTTTTAAAAAAATCTCAGTAGTAGCACGGAGTCTGGAAATGTGCCCAGTATATGGCAATAGGCTCAACCCCTATTACATGGGACTCATAAAATAAATAATGAAAAGTGGGTGTTACTTCTGTGTGCACCTCTGCTTACCACTTCGGGGATAAAAGGCGTGATGTTATGTGTAAATATCAACAATATACACGACCATTTTCTGGTTCTATAGTTGACAAAATCTAAAACAATGTTTTACGTCCTACGAATGCAAACTAATGCTACAAAGTAACTCAGAAATGTTTTTTTTAACATAACAAAGCTTACCAATTTTCTAATTATAAAATACCACTGTAAACTATGTATGTATGAGTCATTCAGCCAACCTTGCTTTTGATACGAATTAATAGTTTTTCTTATGTTATTGCTCATATTCTTTTATCTCCTTAATTAATTTATTGTGACTTCAAAGGTTTAATAAAATCGATTTTTATATTCTGCGACACATGTCTTCAAAGGCCCTTTCTCATTATCCAGGCTCTAGTCGCATTCAAGCTACAAGGTAAGATTCGCCAGCCGCAGTCGGAGTTCGACAACGAAGCAGTCCGCTACAAGCACCGCTTCGCTCCACTGTCAGTACTGACCCCGCCACAGGTGCACTATCACGAGTTCTGCGAGATGACTCAGCCTCTTCAGTGAGTATTTATTTCATGAATAACTAATATTAGTTACTTTTTTTTGTTTCTGATGACGGCGGGAAGCCTTCAAAAGGCGCCTAGCTTTCTGGGTATAAAAGACTTAGGGAGTGTGGGTTTTTTACTTCACTAAAACCAACCCGGTGGTCAACCCTCAGCGCCTGTAAGAGGCACCGGGACCTCTAATAGAACTACCCCAGAAACTAATGTTAGTTACTTACAATTATTGTATTCAATTGAACATGAATATGTATTAAACTGTCAGTGACTCAATTCAGATCTCTAATAGAAAGAAAGAAGAAAGAAAGATTGTTTATTTGCATCGTAACAAATTAAAAACAAGAGGAATATTAATACAATAACAAAAATGGTAAAAGTGTGCACGGCGCAAAAAGGCCAAGTGCTCAGCTGAAATGCCGTGACCCGAGGGCGGTAACTCGAGTCGCGGCGCTGATTTTCAGCACTAGCCCGTTACTACAATAATCAAAGTCAAAGTCACAATCATTTATTTCAATTAGACAAGAAAGGCACTTTTGAACGCCTAATATGGTAGTTATATCATCTACCTATTAGTGTCTGATTATTGTAACACTTTTCATCAGAGCCTTTAATAAGTATAATCAAGGGTGTCTATATATTGTTCTAACATATGCATACAATATTGGATAATGTATCAAAGAGATTGTAAAACATTTTTTTTAAAGAGTAACGAATGGAGTTTCTTACTCGTTTTTCTCCATTCGAATCTACATTTTGGAACGAACACCGACGGACAGACTAACAGACTATTATTTATATTGTATTTGTTGACGTTTTAAAAGTACCAAATTATGGTTTAATTGAAATAAATGCTTTGACTTTGACTATTGATGGATTCTGGCTGACGATGATGAATATCCTGAATTTAGAAGTCCCTCTTGTTTAAGATTCAACTTAGAATGAAGTTTCATTTATTTATTTATTTATTTATTCAAATAGGTATACCAACAGCTTCTGTATACATAGCATTAAGTGATTTGAAAGTAACATTAAGTATTTAGGCTTATACAGTCGCCAATTATAGGTTAACCAACATGCAATTACTTAAGTGATAAAAATATATATATATATATATATATTTTACTATCAATAGTATAACAGAGCCGCGTTAATTAATGAGTTTTTTATCTATTATTTTCAGATATGAAAACCCTGTAATATTGTATCTCGGTGGCTGTAAGCACTTTCAGCAGGCCCGGTCCTTACTGGAAACCATCACGACACCAGATCAGGAGGTAAATAAACACATATCTTATTACTATTTACTTATTTGCACTGCTCCTAGACAGGTTCCAATCGCGACTGTCGAAATATTATTATCTTTTCGATTTATTCATTCACGTAACTTTTTGAAGAGGAATTCGACTAGTTTCAAGCCAAACTAGAGGCTCATATTCATGAGCAGTATTCCGCGGTATCAACACCATCAACAGCCTACAAGTGGCCACTGTTGACCAAAGCCCTCTTACACAGAGAAGGTTTAAGCATTAATCACCACGCTTGCTCAATGCGGGTTGGCGATTTCAAACTTATAATTAGAAATTTTAAGTCCAGGTTTCCTCACGATGTTTTCCTTTACCGTTTGTCAGTAGTGTCTGTAATCTTAGAAAGTACATATAACTCGAAAAATGTCACATTGGTACTTTTCCGAGTTGTATGTGGAAGTGTCTTAAACCTCCGGGCCACCACGAGGTTCCGAAGTATTCTAAAGTATTATTAATATTTCTATGTTTGTGTTTTCAATTTTTCAAAAGGTTTATAAGATCCATTGTACAGAAAGGTGGCTCTGAACTCTATTTTAATTTAGCTTTTAACATTACTTTTAAAAAGTGGGTGTGTTAAATTGTACCTATGAAATCGATATAGGTAACAACATTACTATCAGTGTTATCTATATTGAAGATTAAATGATATGCATGATTTTTTACTCCTTATTGCAATTAGGGATGACAAACAGATTTATTATTGATGGGCGTGTGTCATCGGAGTAAAGAATTTATGTTATTTCCACTTCATAAACTCAGCTAGTCTGGGTAACAATGTCTGTTGGACGATTTGGCCACTACAGATAGAATTGTATTATAATTTTTTACAAGAGGTGTCAAAATCCATTTGTGGCGTCTAAATCAACCAATAGTTCATGCCAATAGATAGTTTCTTCTCAAATTAATATCGGTTTTAATTTTTAGTCCAAAATATTTGTTTTTATAATAACTATCGTGAGACATACTAAATTAACTAAAACTCGCGGGTTACTCGCGTGAATATATTGAGAAAAGCTCTATTAGTTTCGAACCACAGAGGAGTTCTTCTTCATGAGCAGCGTGCGCGGTCGCGGCGATGTCGCGCAGCCTACTGTCTCATGTCATATTTGGGTTAAGATCGAATTCGATATTAATTTAAAACCACTGAACGGATTTAATTTAAATCGGTTCAGTGGTTTTTAATTATTATCATCGGTTATTTTCGACTGTTAATAATCTCACATTATATTTGTTCAATGTTAGAGTACAATTTAATCTCATTGTTTCAGGTACAGGACCTGCTAAAGGTAGCAAAAACAAACTTTGTAGTATTAAAATTATTGGCAGGAGGTCACAAACGAGACTCCACCGTACCACCGGAGTTCGACTTCTCAGTACACAGACATTTTCCTATCATAAAGTTAGTGTAAGCTATTAGAATTTTCAACACAATTTTATATTAATTTTTGACTCGAACAAAGCAGCTATGGATGTCGAGGAAGCTGTCTGTCTAGTCCCCCCTTCTGCAAATCAGGTATTCTCTACATTAATGTACAGTTTATATTAATTGGTCAGATTTGTGTGTATATTTCCTATTTCATTCACTTCTAGGTTTAAAGTATGAACATTTTTACATGCTATAATAGTTTATTTATCAGAATTATAATATAGAAGTACATATACAATTGACACGGATAATGCAACATTATGTTATTGTAATAAATTAATTTGTATTGTGTAATTATATCGTGTGTATAGACCTTAAATCAAGATGGTTTTTAAATGTGCAATAAAAATCATTGAAATATCATTTCGTGTTTTGTTTTACCAAATAATCACGCATATAAATATCAAAGCATTTACTAATTTATATACTAATGCGATTAGCACATGTACTGGTTACGTTAGATACTTCATTGGTTGTTGTCCTCCTCGTCGGTGTCTGCATCAGAAACGTCCGTGTAACAGTCCGCTTCCAAAGTCTTTACCCTCAAGAAGTCCGAGGATTGTGGACCTGTAATAATAACAAGTAAATTATAAAACAATGATTTTTGAATCCATTTTAATAGTTCGCTGCCCTATGCCTTAAGCACTGGGGCCTATTCCGTTGGCTGTAGGCCCTAGGACCTATTCCGTTATCACTGGGACCTATTTTGTTGGCACCGGGCCATATTTTGTAGACTGTGGGCTCTATTCCGTTGGCTGTGAGCCCTATTTTGTTGGCTATGGGTTCTATTCCGTTGGGCATGGGCCCTATTCCGTAGTCTGTGGACCCTATTCCGTTGCCATTGTACGTTGAATAACTGACCTTAACTATCTCCTAACGTAATATTATTTATCACGATATTAAAAACAATATCGAAATTAGTCACCAAACATAACTAAAGGCAGAATGATTAAGTCATAATGACTCATGACATGACAATAGACAGTGTAATAGGATTACTGGTAAACCTAGCCTTGTGTAACATTCAAATTCAATTAGGTACACACGTGACCTTCAGCTGATCAGGCCATACCCTGCAATGATGACCTAGTTCTATCTAAGGGACGCTGAGATTAGGGCATGCCATAATATTACACATAACGTTTCGTCTTAGGTATACTTGGTAAGAGCAAGACAGAAATATTAAGGTGGGTCTACACTAGACGAACCAAGCATGAGCGACCTCGACTTCGTCGTTTGCGGTGTCAAGTGTGGACGAACAACGATCACTGTCCCCAAACGTGGTTTTCCGTAGTGAGTAATGCGAGCGCGCAGCAGATTCATTTGTGTTTGTCAAAAAACGACAATACGCGGAACGCAGCCGAGCACGAACGAGATGCTCGCAGCGCGCTATTTCGAGGCTTGTAATGTAAGTCGGTCCAGGGTCCACACTAGACGAATTAATATGTTCGGCTCTCCTAGCGTAGACGCAGCTTTAACGTCCATTAGGACTTACATCACGCCAGTGCCTTTAGCCAAAAGCCACTTTAGCGCTTGTCTACAGAGAGTAGAAAACTAAATGGAAGGGGAATGACACTGACAAGTGTCAAAATATACGTCAATCCCATATAATTTAGTTTTCTATTCTACAAATAGACAAGCGCAAAATAGCATATGGCTACAGCTGCTGATATGCTGCAAATATCTACAGTTTTTTTTACAATTTAAAATTCTGTTATCTGTACTAAACCATGGACTAAATGGTCACAACAAAATAAAATAAGTTAATCGTTCGTTGTTGTGGCCTATTTTCAGTCAATCAGAATAAATAATTATTGCGTCAACTTTCTACAATGAGACGTAATAAGGACACAAAATCTATACACAGTATGTAAACGAAACGCTGATAAAAAGAAATTGTTTCTGCAATTTTAATCGTTTTTTTGTGTTATTCATGCAACATCAGTCTTGAGCAGTTAAATACAACTATTATCTCAAAAAAATTCTTACTTCTATGAAATAAAAATGAATAAAAACTGGTTTTTTACCATCACCTGTCGGCGTTTTTCGGCAGCGTTTCGTTTACACCCTGTATACGAAAGCAAGCATTACTTTGGAATCATACAAAGTAATAGTTTTTCTTACCTTCCGTATAAACAACATTCGCCCCAAAGTCTTGTATCGGTGTCGGCGTGATGGACCGGTCATCGCGCCCTCCTTCAGCATTGTCCTCGTCATCATCATCACTCTCTATTATTATCTCTTCTTCTTCACATTCCTCCACCTATAAATGTTAAATGTTGCGTTAATCAACGACAGAGATAAAAACTTAACAACTTATACCTACAGATAAAAGTAAACCTTTTTTTTATGATAGGGGGCGTCCAAATGCGTCTAGCTTTTTGGAGAGAGAGTGTGGTATTTCTATCTCACTAAAACCACCCCGGTGGCCATCTTCGGCAACTGTAAGAGGTACCGGGTCCCGTAATAAACCTATTCAGGAGTCATGGCACATCCCTAGAGAGACGTGCCTCTCTTGAACCTCCCTGTGAGACAAAATTAAACCTATGGTTTCGTGAATACCAATATAGGTATAGTAGGAGATAAGACACTCAAAAGGTAGGTAGTATAATGTTTAAACCACAACAATCCGCGTTAGTTAATAGTTTTTATATTAAAGGTACGTAATGATCATGAATAAACAAACTGACTAACCTGTATATCAAAAGACTGCTGCTTATTCTTATAGTCAAGGAGCGTGGAAGAAGACGACCTTTGTTTCTGGTGAGCCAAGCGCTTTATATTGCTAGGTGATGGGGTACCCTGGTCAGGATCACCGTCGCTGACCATGTACTCCACATCCAAGTTCAAAGGCAGGCTAGGGTTTCCAGACACCTTTCGTCGACGCAACTGGCATTCTGGTTCTTCTGTCATTTTTTATGGCTGAAATTACAAAAGATTTCCCATTGTAATTGGCTAGTTTCCTAGGTTTAAAAAAAATTGTTTTAACTTTTCAATGCAATAAATAATTAAAAAACAATCATAGTACTCTCATCGATTGATTTGACAATTTATCTACTTTTGGATTTTTTCTCGCTAATTTTATGGATATAAGTACCTATGCTATTTGACGCAGAAATATGATGACGTCATAAGTTGCGATCCAATACAAAATTCATATAAACGTATCGTTTTTAACATTTCAATAAAGAATTGAATTTGACTAGGTACCTGTCAACTACCGTATTGATGGTTTTTCAAGGGTGGTATTATAATTTAGATAAAGCTCGGTGATCATTTACTTCGTCCTGTGATTGATTTAGATGTCTTTAGGGTGGGACAGTTTAATGATTACATGAAGGTATACAGCCATCTTAAAATCATTAATCAAATTAGGCACTTTAAACTAAAACAAATGATTTAACCGACGGGATAATAAAGCTGAAGAGTAGGGATAGAAGAATTACGTGGCAGTTAAAAAAAGTCAAGGTAAATGGGCGACACGTAACACGAACACAGAAATAACAAACTCTACGACTTTTTAGAATTAATATAATAAAATAAATTATTAAAAGATTTATCAAAAAAGCAATTGAACGCCACGTCTTTGGAATCCGACTGCTAATTACATTAGCTAGAGGTCAAGTATCTGGAATAAGCAACGATGAATTACAATTAATGTAATTAAACTAAAGCTTACCAATATAAGAAAAATCCTTTAAAACCTGTAGCTTTTTTCTCAAGTTCCTGTCACAAAAACACGTCCTGACTAAGTGAAATGACGAGGTAATGATAAAATGTTGGGTGTACGCTGGGGCGGGCGGTGGGCAAGTAGACAGGTTGCGGGCTCGAGAACGAAGCCCTATGTCGTTAATCTGCACTGTTTTGTTTCAGAAAAGTTCAACATTTGACTGTTTTTAGAAAAATAAACATTTTGTATAAAATAAAGAAAATATTAAAGGAACAATCCTTTCACTTTAAATATTCCTGAATAAGTAGGTACTTACGTGATCGCCATTTTAATTAAACAAAGTCACTTTTAATCCTGTATTTCGCAACCTTATAGACAGTCCCTTTGATTGCATGATCACTGTATCTTGATCATTTGTAGTCTTAATTTGTATCTGTACTTACCCGATCAGTGCATCCTGACGTTTGAGTGCAGGCTGTACTCCAACGTCAGGCTGCCTGCCACTAAAATCTCAAATAAAAATCAAAAGAAAAAAATAGATCAAAACAATGACTGCAACGAAATAATGTACTAGGCACATACCGATCATTGACTGGACATTAGCAGCACTAACCTGAAACATCAGCTCAGCTAAAGGAACGAAGTAAACCCACTCCTTCCTTTGATTTGATGTCATCTTGTCGTTGTTAATTTACTTCATTTCTCATTTCTTATTTTAATTTTACATAAAACATAACATCACGCCTTCTATTCCAGAAGGTTTAGATAGAGGCGCGCTTTACGACACCACTGTACAATGTAACTCCCACTTTTCACTATTTATATTATGAGTTCCATGTAATAGGGGTTGAGCCTATTGCCATATACCGGGCACAAATTCAGACGCCGTGCTTACTACTGAGATTTTTTTTAAATACCCACCAATACTATGCTCGACCTAGGAATCGAACCCGAGACCCTTTACCTAGCAGTTGAACTTACGACCACTCGGCCAATTTTGCGTTTATGTTTACTTACTTACTCGTTCAAATTTTACTACTAGCTTAGCGGTAGGATTGGCAAATAACTACAATAAAAACAAATCAAAATATTATCACATAGGCTGAAAAACGATATAAAACGGCTTTTAACATCTCTCATTTTCAAGAATGTTAATCCATTTTTTACGATTCGATTGCCATGTTAAGTCCCGCGCAGAATTGTTATCTATAAAAATCCAGCAATACGACCTTCAATACAAATGTGTCATGGACTTGTACATGTCCGATTATCTATAACTTTAGCAATAAAATAATTAATCCTACTATAAATGTTTCTAATGATAGATGAACATTTCTTGCTTTTATGTAAAAGTTAGAAAATATCACAAAATCCTTTTATTTCGTATTGAAATTATAATCGATTTGAATCGTAAATGATCGGATTACGTAAGATCAAGGACGTTGAAAAAACATGACGGAAATAATGGGTTTCCAAAATACCAGACTTAGGAGAATGCCGTACCTATGTCCTTTGTGTCAATGTGTGTAGGTAGATATGTCCTGCGTGTAAGTCTATAGTACCTAAGTGCCACAATCGTCGCTTCAAGAGACTGGTGCCCGCCTTTTTGTCATCGTCCTTGGAAAAGATCGATTTTTGAAATTACTTAGATGGAATTTCTTTCAAAAACCGAGACCGATATAAAGATTTTATATTAAGGTCGGCTATTAAAAATGTGGGTGAAACCACAGGCATGGTGCTTAGTAATGAAATATTATGTTTTCACCCTAAGGTTTTGAATCTCTGTCACTTGTGGGGATTCACCGCTTCATGATATTTTTGTCGTCAGGTAACGCATATACTTACTTGGGCGGTATTGAAATAAGTCTTAGCATTTAGACGTCTGAATATCTTGCAAACATTTTCATGTGATTTATAAGTAAGTAGATGATATATTTAAGCAAAAAAATACAATATGTGAGTTGGCTCAGGCTTGTAATCAAGAAATTTCTATTCGTTGATACGAATAGAAATAGATAGTCGTTATAGATATAATATTTAATGTAGTAAGTACGAACGTCATTCGCCTATACGTATAAATTCAGACATAGATTACCGGCGACGAGATTTATGTAATTAACTGATAAGATAGGAATAGTTTAATGAAATACTTTGATTACTCGATATAGCTGTTTATTTTTATTTTCTGAGGTAATATTACGGCGGTGGTTGATGTTTTTTAAACAATTTAACGGCAGTTTGCAGGCACTGGTATCTTTTAACACACCAGTTTATAATGAATACACCAATTCATAAATAAAGCTATCCTTTATTTATGAATTTATGTATGAAATTATAAACTCCTTTATACTACTAACTAATTGGGATCCCATAATGAAATCCAATAGACATTTAGCTTTGTTTTACAGTAAAATATTTCGTTATAAGGAGGCAAGATGAATTGAGATTTGTAATATATCTAATACGTATACTCTAGTTACCTGTATAAATAACTCAACTAAAACAAATATGGCTTACACTTACACTAAAATTCTTAATAGTTAAGCACCTTAAATCAACGTTGTTGAAATTATTTCAACGAAATGAATCCATGTTCTATTTAACTTAAAATAAATACTCTAAAATACGTTTCAATATCAATACTCTTCCGATCACAAGGCTGCGATTATAATCTTGGTATAAATCAGATGAAATTATTTGAGAACGGAACTTAACTAAGCTAACTTAAAGTCTAAAATATAATTATTCGTCAGCAACGTGTTTCTTTTACTTCTGACGATACACTATTAATATCGGTATCTTCTATTGGGGTGGGCGCTCTGGCCAGTTCAGTGTCCATACTGCTCACAGTGCAGTCACTGTTCAAGGACAACCTTCGTACATCAAAAGTAGAATATCTCCTCAAATCGTCTGACGTATTACTATATCTATGAGCCTTTACAGCGAAGTACCGGCTCCTATCTTCGATTCTATAAAAGTCCATGCTGTTCTTTTTCTTGATCAGGTTGAAGTTTTCGTCTAAAGGAACGAAGTATGTTTTTACGTAGCCGGCGCCTTTCACGAAGGTCTCACCGCGACAGGTGGTGAGGATGTCGCATTCGTCCAAAATGATAGCTGTGTTTTCTGTCACCTAGATGGTAACACACGATTAATTTGTTAGTATCTTTATTTAAAGCTTTATTATGAGCCCCTCAGAATTTGTACATACCTGTATCTTGCCAGATTCGCCAGTAGAATCCATTCTCGACGCCATGTTTACTGCATGCCCCCAAATGTCGTATAGTGGCTTTTGTGATCCCACTACACCAGCAGCTACCTCACCGTTTGACATACCTGATTGAATGTTATTAATTACTTTATCAGTCGTACGAGAAAATTTCCATACAGGTGCAGGTGGTGTTAGTCATAATAAGTTTATCTCTGATTAAGACAATGGTCGTGTGGTACTTTTTTACAAAATGAGGAATAAACGCTAAGAAATGCAATGCTATGATAAATTTCTACTCACCAATTCGCAAGTTCAGCCCCTCGAAGCTTTGAAACGATCCTCTGTTAAAGTTCTGTAATTGCATCATCATTGCCGCAGCAAATTCTACCATGGTTAGTACTACTGCTCGACCATAGGGGCTGTTTTGCCGTACTTTACTCGGAGGTGTACCTATAGAACCAGACCCAATAGGATACGAGTCTTTAGATTCTCTTCTATTTGGGTCTAACCCACAGGCAGCCATGTAGGTCCATCCAGCCATTTTAATCTTTTCCACTTTATACTCAGAAGCTCCTGTAAGCAATAGCTGTAAGAGAAAAAACAATTAAATTGTGTGCTTATGATAACAGATGTAATTTTAATATAATTCTTCATTTGCTTACTTACTCTATCAAAATCGGATATGATTTCATCTAGGATACTCAAAAGGAATTTATCACTCATATCTGCATCGCCTTCTATGCCCAACTTGTAATCAGTTAGAGACGCAAACATTACTGCCACGTTGTCGTACTTTTCGTAATACAATTCATCCAAAGATCTGTTTAAGTTCAGGTAAACTTGAACTGGAAATATATCAAAATATTAACACCCTTTCAATAAATGCCAGGTAATAATGCCTGTGCAAGTGGATATCTTTCGGTACGTACCGACGTGAGCTGGTAAAATGTTTTCTAGAAGCATGTTGTTTACTTTCAACATAGTCTCTGCTTCATTTTGTTCTTCACTCAATTGTAACTGCCACAAATGATCCAATCTGTTCCGAAATTCAGTAGTTCTATCAATCCAGTACAGCGTAACTGTTATGATGACGACAGCTAAAGTGTGAGATATTCTAGGGTCCAATCCTACGTTCCAAGTCACGTCATTGATAAAAAGAGAGGTTTTGATCTCCCATACAATCCATAGATAGAAGGTGGTCATGACGGCAGCGATGATCCATTTGAAGATAAAGAAAACCCTACTGAACAGAAAGTTCAAGAGCAAGGCCAAGCCCCAACACTGGGTCACATGCTGAAAAAGAAGAAGCGTTAGCACCTATCGTATAATTGAAAATAAATGAAAAATAAAATAGGTATAGAAATGAGATTACCCACGAAGATATACAATTTGAGAGAACACTTTCAGCAGCAGGCACCGGCACTTCTCTGCATGCAATCACGTTCACCACAGAAGTAGCAGCAAGTCCGATACTTATCATTAAGTAGATCGCAGTCCTTATATGAGCTGATTTTATGATCTTAGTAGACACGTCGAAGACCCAGCGCAGGAATTTGTTTCGAGGTTCTTCATAACTATTGTGTTTAGTCCAGAGAAATTGAAACCATGTTAAGGGTTGAAGTAAAATAAGGACAATTAGAAGAGCGCCGAGTAACAGCCAGGCATACCAACTGAAGCCCTCAAACCTGAAATGGAAGCAGTACATAAAAAGTTTGCAATTTACTTTCTTTAAAAGTTTTTTTTGTAGGTTGGAATAAAATTTACTCACCATCTTGTAGTTAGACCATTTATTAAGAACATCAGTAAGAAGATAATCAGGCAGCAAGTCATGTAATATTTGAACAATGGATCTGGTAGCAGCAAGAATTGCTTCTCCATTTGACAGTTCTTGAACATCAATGTGAATCTGTTTAATTTAGATTCATTGCGGAAATGTTCTCTAAAAGAAAAAGTTGTTGTATTTTATCATTAATGGAATTTAAGTAAGTACATCCTTTAAGTGCATTTTTTCCCCGCTCACATTAAGGAGTCCATTATTTTAATAAAATATCAACGCTTACCTGCCGTGAGTCATATCTTCAATCTCTTTAGCCATTTGAGCATCAGCAGCTTTCAACATCTGTTGATACTCTACTAAATTTTCATCCATAAAAGTTGTGGTCCTACGAACACTATTAGTGTTCCTCTTTTCCGCTCGCTACTAGAAATACATAAATAATATAGAAATTATTGTGTGGTAACTTCTTTTATAAATAAATCTTTGAATCGGACTTACTCTAGTAGACGTGTTAGTTTTCGTTATTATTTTATTGAAGCCAACTGATGCTCGACGGAACGGTCTGTATTCAAGAGACTGAAACAAAAATTCATTCATAATTTATTTTAGATGTCCGAATATTTTTGGTGCGCAAATATCATATTTTGTCAATATTTACCCTTGAAGGTCTCGACAGCAGATAGGTTTCCAGTTTATTTTTAACAATGAAGGGATCATTCTGAGATTCAAAATTTGGTTCAATGATGTATTCCCTAGCGTATTCCAGCAGTAATTCGAGAGTTTGTTTTGTCACGTGAACTTTTCTGAAAATTAAAAGAATTCAGTTTAGCTGCAAACTTATTATTCATTATATTAACACGTTAACCACCTCGTAAGTTACCGGTGTCCTACAATATAGCCTTTAATATTTTTCTGTCAACAGTCAAACGAGTTGAAGGTGTAAACATACCCTGCCTTCCCAGTAGATTCCATTTTGTTAGCTATTGTAACATCTTTCGACCAAACATCAAACTGCCATTTTCTGATACCAATTAGTCCACTGAGGATCTTCCCAGAGTGGACTCCGATCCTCATATCAATGTTTAACGAACGCTTCTCCCTGCAAAATGTTTTTTTTTAAATGTAATTATCCACAATCTACTCCTACAGATTTACAACAACCTTGAAACCACATTGTTCTCCTAATGAAACGTCTGCGTTTCTAAAAACTTTATTTAAAACCAACATTCAATGTATTTACCTCTTCGCGTTAATCCCCAAGTATTATATTTAAATAATGTTGTCACACTGATGTACGCCTTTCCGATGATAGGAATAAGCCTTATCGTGAAATGAACGTATCAATATATACGGTAGTAACAAAGATTCTTCGAATTAGTAGTATCGCGATTGTTTAGATCACTATCAACGACCACTCCCACTTTACAAAGAACAAATCGTGTTGGGTATTCTGCACTAATAAATGATATTCCAATTGACAACGTGGAAGTTAAAGATACAAAAACTAATATTTACAAAATGCAACCTGAAATGATTGTTTATCTAATCTACAAACATAATGTAACGAGTCTGAAAGTAGCTGGGATTGTCCATTTTTCATTGTGAGAGACTTAAATAAGTTTGTTTTAGAAATATAACCTATTTTTTGTTATGTTGTTGTTGGCTGTTAAGGCGTTTACACATCGCGTGTGTCGAATTGTGGCTGTTTAATGTACGTGCTATCGTGCATGTGCATTAAAATTGTTATTCTGCATACATTGGTAGTGACTTACTAAAATATTTATGACATCAAAAACTAAGAAAATATACCTGACGTCTTTGATTATGTGGATCATCTCCAAGCCAAGGTCAACGCAATTCTTGGCGTGCTGGTCTGTGGGCTTCGGGATTCCACTGACGCAATAGTAACAGTCGCCCAAGAATTTTATTCTTAAACATCGTATTCCTGAAATAAAAACTAATTTAATTTCTTCTTGGAAATATTTCTTTATGAGTACAATTAGTAATTGGCATCCTAATGTATTTTTTTCTTTTTGTGATAGATATGCACCCATGGAATCATTTGTTATTTTTCTATATGTTTTGTTTACCGTTTTTTTGCATGTGGTGTTAACATATAATTATTAATTGTCGCACTTCAAATAAAATAAATAAAAGTGTTTAAGTTTTTGTCAGTTTTAGAGTGTTCTAGTTCAAACCGATTTTTATAGACTTTATGGTATGATCTTACCTCGGAAGCTTCGTCGAACCTCCCGAACAGTTCATTCAACAGTTCTACCATCCTCATTGGAGCCAACGTGGTTGATATCATTGTGTAATTGACAACGTCGGCATACAGAATACTCACATTATCGTGTTCTTCCACGTAAAGCTGGCTGTAAACGACCGATAACTTTGATTAAGTGTTTAATTGGTTTAGCATTGGAAGGTCAGCAAGATATTTTGGCATAAATCTGTTCATATTAATTAAGTAGCAATAGTTTCAAGAAGTGATAGGGTACGTATATACGTCCATTCGCGTCCACCCCCTGGTTCACGTCCATGTTATGGAACGTCCTTTAAACGTTACCGAAAATAAGAAAGCTATCACTATGTAAGTAGTATTTAGTACAAATCTGTTTGACCTATTCGCGTTTTAAGTATCTTATATTCATAGCGATGCGTAAAATGGACACGAACAGGTGAACTTTTGTAGGGTTGACGCAAGCAGGCGAAAGTACCTTACAAAAAATAATCTATAAATTTCCTTCACTTGCTGATTTACGTTAAAAAATTTAACAATGACTGGGTAGAGTCAAACTTGAAACTTACTTGAAAGATTTCATATTCTGACTAAGTGAACGTGTTTTCAGGCCCATGAACATGTTCCTGATGTCTTGGCGGACTTTGGACACAATGTGTTCTGGTAAGATGCTCATCATCAAGCGTTCCTGTAAGCACATTTATTAACTACATATATCGAACTTTATCATAATAGTGACAAAGTAAATGACCATTAACTAGGTAGTAAGTAAGGAATAGGAAGGAAGGAAAATAAAAGTAATGATAAATACAAATAGAAAGATTAACCCCTACCAGTTTGTTTGGAGAAAAACAAGCTTGTTGTTACAACGAAACTAAGAGATTATGATATTCAAATGAATATCAAACGATTCTTATTGGATAATCACTAGGAATGTAGTAAGTAGATGGCGCTTATCTGTGATTAGATAATTTACTTGTGTTTTATATGTAATTCGTAAAAGGGGAAAATACCAAAATAATGTCCACTGCAAATTAGAATAAAACACATGATAGAATTACTAATAAACGGGTGAATCCCGAAAAACAAAAACAATAATGACAGTGTACTCAAGAAATAAATAAGAAGGTCTGATACTAATAACAGTCGTGTAGAATCTGAAGTATAAAGTTAGCATTGACATAGGAACATAACCAAATAATCATATGCACACACGAGAATATTTTGGAATAGAAAAAGTATCTACAAAATGGAAATTATAGATACTCATTCATCGGATATATTGAATGGTACGAGGGAGAGCGAATAAGAGAAGGAAGGAAAAAAGTGCTGTTGGGTCTCTAACAGCAGTAAGTAATGCAAACCAGCTAGAAAAAGCTTATTCATTTTTAAAAGGCCGTCAACGCACCTATGGCTCCTCTGGTGTTGCGGGTGTCCATGGACGGCGCTGATCGCTTACCACCAGGTGATCCATCTGCTTGTTTGCCTCCAATTCCATAAAAAAGTAATACTAATATTAACAAAACAGAATATTTACCTCTTGATCTTTAACGAATTTAAGTCTGAGAGTGCTTTCGACACATGCTCTCCTGTCCAAAAAAGATCGCCTTGTGACTATTTCGTTCATCAATCGAAAGTAAACTCCCATCAGATTAACTCCTATCAGGTAGATGATGTCTGACGCAATCTAGAAGATAAAGAAATTATTGAAGGGTTAAATGGGGATATGCGATGTTGACTGATTGGTTAGGCAGTATTCTGATAGTCTACATTACAAAAAATAATAATAGAACATTACGAATTTTATCCCCGAAGGGATAGGCAGAAGTGCATATTACGGCATCTAATGCCACTGTACAATGTGACACCCACTTTTCACTATTTATGCTCCGATTCCTAGGTAATAGGGGGTGAGCCATATACCGGGCATAATTGCAGAATCTGTGATACAAATGAGATTTTTTTTTAAATGTCAATAATACCCTGAAATTGAACCCGATACCCCTTGCCTGGCAGTCGCACTTGCGGCCACTCGGTCAACGAGGAAGTCTACATTAATATTAAAAAAAATGAGTTGAAATATTATTTTTTGGTATTATTGTCTGTCATATAAGGGTTCAAAGAATTACCATTGATCAGTTACGAATGTCGACCACAAAAGAAGAAATACGAGATACACACGATAATTCATAATAAAGTAGAATCCACCCTCATTTTCATAATCTTCAACTCATTTAATTGTTCTATGAATATCTTAGCTGATAATTTAAAAGAAAAACAATGACTTCAAAGTTAAACAGTTTAAAAAAACCTGTTCGAGTCACTGATAACATAATCCGCTACCATTTATTAATCTGTTGTAAGTGGGTGCTCAGGAAAATAACAATCAATTATAAAAGTTGATGGTATCTAGCTTGTAGTTTGGACCTCACACTTCAAATTACAATCATAATATTAGATTTCGATACTCATAACAATAATAGAATTGATAGATATTAATAAAAAAAGCAAAGGATAAAATTAGAAATCTTGTTAATAGACTAACGTGTGTCATTCTTTACTTTTCATAAGCAACTGGAGTTCAATGTCAGAGCGAATTAATCAAATGAAATGCACAATTCAATAGAATTATAATATTCACAGTACACTTTTGAATATTCTTTGAATTAAATATTGTAATTGCGCCCACGTGACTTTCTTTTCTTTATTTGGCGCTAGTGTCGAGTAAGGTCGGGCCTGCGGACGGCGAGCATGGGTGGCTCGCCGCCTGACCAGAACCAGACCCGAGAATACGGCGCTTCGCGTTCCGCGCGCGCTTTTAAGAGCCATCAGACCACCACGGATGGGGCCCAATAGGGCTGATGCCGAAACGGAGCCGCGGAGAACCTAACCCGGGTGGTTTTTAGTCAGTAAGAGTGACACGGGAGGGTCTCATCGAGAGGGGAATCATCGAATGTCTTCTCCCGCCTGGGTGAGAGATTTTCCCCCTTAAAAAAAGTGTCGAGTAAGGTCATATTTGTGCAATCGTAGTTATTATTAAATTTAATAACCTAAAAATCCCTTCCTTACTGTGTACACCAAACCTATTGTTGATTTAAAAAAGATATCGATGATATTACTACAAACGTTGAAATTGTAAAACTCTGTTTTCTTTTCTACATTCACTATACCTACTCGTCGATAAAAGTTTTTAAAAGGACCATTTTATCTACCTATTACATCACTATTATTATCTCATTGATTAATTATTGTTGTTATTTTTTTAAAATATTTCGTAAACACAATTTCATCCTGATTCAACAAGATTATAAAAGTTGTGTATTTGGTATATTAACTAAAAATAGCGGGTTACTCACTCACTCAATTTCATTTGCATTGACAATTGACAATTGCATTGACAATGATGAGGTTCTAAGAGTAACCAATTTCATTGTAGACCAGACCATTGTAGACAAGTAGACCTTTTGTCAGTATATGCACGTGAGTAACCCGAGATCTTTATTTAATTTAATATTTCTAATATTTATAAACCGTAAAAATAACTTACCACTATAGCGATTTCAGGATCCTGATCGTAAGTGAAGAAGGCAAATATTAGTACGTAGATGATGCTGACGAGGAAACCGAGGATGATTGCCAAGAAGTTGTTTCTCATTGGTAGGAAGATGTAGTTAGAGAGTAGGGCCATGGTTGAGTAGGCCGGCCTTAGGGAGATACCCTCGAAGGAGCTGTAGATACTGACTGCGATATCTGATAATAAGAGAAAATGTTATTGAGGGTAAGAGGTTAGCATAGAGGAAAAACAAAAAATATTCGTTTTGGGCAACAATGATCTTTTGGTGTGTCCAAACACGGCGTGCAAGGTGCGCGGCAGTTCAGTTCGAGACACGCCGCACTTTTTATTTCGTATTTAAACCACAATGAAAGCGGCTTTGTGTTTTGTAGCTCTGCTTCGACCTCATACTGCATCGCAGACGGTCTCCAAGCTACATTAGCTACATTATAAATAAAATTATACATACTGAGATATGTTAAAAGATGTGACTGTCAAGGAATTTTTAATTCCTACATTTTCGCTGAACATACATTTAGTTATTTAGGTAGGTATTGATGCCAGTTATCGCTGCTTACAGTATGGTGTAATATTTACTGGACAGCCTGTATAATTTAAATATTTACATTATAAACATACCTATATGATAACACAAAATTTAAACTAATATATATATCTATACTAATATTATAAAGAGGAAAGATTTGTATTTTTGTATTTTTGTATGTTTGTAATGAATAAACTCAAAAACTACTGAACCGATTGCAATAATTTTTTCACCATTCGAAAGCTGCATTATTCAGAAGTAACATAGGCTATATAATATCACGCTAGGTCCTATAGTTGTGGAGCAGTAACCAAAAATGTTTAAAAACGGAAAAGTATCGTTTCTGAGGCCTTCCTGGCGTGCGCTGAGCATATAGTTAAAGTTATACAAAAATGTTCTATAGATGAATTGTTATCTTAACATTATTTTTAAAAAAGTCCGCGAGAGCATATGTCTACCTTTATAGTTTACCATAACAATCGTTTTAATGAATGGTTCAATCCTTATAAAAGTTTGCTCTAGATAACTTTTGAATTGTTCAATCGGTTACCTTAAGACGCGACATCGACAACGGAGGGCAGGTCGCTAAAAAAAAACTGAGAATAAATATAAATAAAACGTAAAACTATGTAAAAAATCTTAAGTCCCCCCGTGCGAAGCCGGGACGGGCCGCTAGTATTATATAAAAATGAAACCCGTTGCCTATTGTCAAGCCATAACTTGAGAACGGCTAGACCGATTGGACTGTCTTTTTTTGTTGTGTTTATTATTGTCAGGAGAAGGTTCTTATGACAAAAACGTCCTGAAAATCCTATGGGAACGGGAGAAAATGAGACTGTGCGTACGAAATCGCGAGCAGAAGCTAGTATTATAAATAACTAAAATAAAGTATGAGCTTACCTGTAATCACAAGGTCTAAAGTGACAATGAAAGTCACAAGAATTGGCATCCAAAAACATTTCTTTTTCATGGGATAGTAACACGTTTTCCATAACGTTAATATAGGTATACCTATCCTCAGTATATACATGCCCATAGTTAAATATGTTGACGTTGACTGTATTTGCTGTAAGAAAACCGCGTTTGTTGAAATTTTCGCTAAATTTTCGTCTTCCGTCGAAACCTGGAAGGGTGCTCGAAGAATAAATATTTGTGCAAAGAAAAATGAGTTTAATGGCCTTCACATTACGGTGACAATGAATGAGTAAGAAGTCACTACTAATCGTAAGACTCACTTGTGAACATATACGGCTTTATTTTATTAGTTTTAAGGTTGATCTTAGCTTTATGCCTTTTTGCGCATATAGGTAGATTTGCTCGAATTTTCGAGGAAGTAAGTCGTTTCAATGGTTCCATACGGTTTTAATCAAGTCGAAACATCGGACGATTTTATCTTCCCGATAACGATCAAAGAAAAATCTTTGATATTATCTAATTTCGATATTATATTGATAGCAAAAATAATCAAACATTTCGCCGTTTTTTCCCAATTAACCTTCATTTTTTGACGTTTTTTCTCATTTATGAGACTCATCAATTTTCTATTATATTACATTTAATCAGTGATTATGTGTAAGGGATGATAAATTGGACACTTACCTCGGAAAAAGTACTTGCGACTACTAAAACTACATGTGTGGTTGAAAATAATACTAATAAAGATAAATAAATAAATATGAGTGTTTCTCTTAGTTTGTCGTCATATTTTCTATAGAGTCCTTCTAAATCTTTTTGGTCGAACTGATCCTGCAAACAAGAGAAATATGTTTAAATTTTCATTTAGAAACAGAAGAAACATACGCGAGTAGACTTTTAAGATAATTAGGACCATTAATTATATAATACTTATTGGTGTTTATTACATGTTAATTCTGTTAGTTTAATAAATAATTTAAGTTAAAGAGTTTTTTTATGGGATACGTCGCTAAACGAGCATACGGATCACCTGATGGTAACCAATCGGCATAGCCCATAGACACCTGGAACACCAGAAGTGTTAAAAGTGCGTTACCGGTCTTTTGGGATTAGGAATTTGAGGATCGTTGGGGATTCAGGGATTGGGAAAGGTCTCGGTCTCGGTCTTCTGTGAGGCCGTGGTATCACTCCGGTCGAGCCGGCCCATTCGTGTCGAAGCATTGCTCTCCCACACATATCCCACACATATACACATATCCCAAGTCTTATAGATTATTGTGACGTCGACCGTGGGGAATATCACCCATGTGTTGGAAGGATGACATCGTCGACATTCAGTACGAGATTGGATATTTGTGGTAGTGGCCAACGTCTAAATGTAAAAATATGTAGAAAAGGTTGCTAAATGGATAATCTGACGTACCCTCAAATACTTCCAATTCCATTGTTTTCCGCCAACTAGTTCCATCTCTTGCGTTCTGAACTCATGCAGAGAAGACAGAAGGCTGGTAGCTCTGCCGGAGTTCATGGAATACCTCGCAAGAAGCTCCAGAGCTCCCACTTGGAGCACCACAGACCCCATAGTCCGAGACAGTGACTGGTCATCCTGGTGGAATAAGAACATTTCAATGAATGTGTGTTATATAGTAGGCCTGATGTACCGATTAAAAGTGACGATTGACATGCGTACTTTTAATCTTAAGATTTTTATACTGCTATAATAGGTAAGCTCATGCACGTAACCTGTCTTCTTGAACGGCTGGAATTGACAATAGGCTTTAATTCAAAATCCAGAGGGGATAGCCTAAGGTTTTTAACAGTAATCGACCTTATATTATACATATATAGGTGTTTGTATTACTTGTCAAATTTATGCTTTTTCTTTCTTTCTTTCTAATAAAAAGATGTTGAATTTAAATCGATTATCAATTTTAGCCGCAGTCTTTAACTTACAGAAGAAAACTGTTGAAGGTGCCTGTTAAAATGTTCAATTACCGTACCTCGGTCAACTTTGATTGCAGTGTAGGCAGTGACGCACAATCAGAGTATCAAATAAGCTACAAAAACTTTATGTCTTGTGATTACGTCGAGTTAAAAGTTTGATTCTTCTTCCACTACTTTAGATTACATTGAGAAATTGTCTTTTCAAGTGCTATAAAACTTAGAAACTTCTGCACGGAACAATTGCCAAATATATTACGAGGACACGTAGAATTTTCGCTTTCTTGGGGCATAAAAAAGTGCTCTAACGAAATACGTTGGTAATTTATATTTGTAAATGTTTTTTGTATGTTTTAGAACCGTACACTATAACATGAAATAGGTTGTTAAAAATTGATACAAAAGTTTAAAAAAAAAATAACAAAGTTATGGTTTCTGGTTTAATTTGGTGTCGAATATAGCTACAATTCTAGAAGGGAAATTGAAAGATCTTTCTAATTTAGTAATCGAAACTTTTAATATGTATACGCTTAAAATATACAATTGTATAATATACGTGCAATGACCTTAATAATTGAAGAACAAGACGTAGCGAATATGTTAAAAGCTGTCTTATCTCTGCTACTTAATATAATAAAGAATGTAAATGTTAGATGTCTGGTATGATTACTGTAATCATTTTACTATTTGTGATACATGTTTATAAATATGTTAATTGAAGGAATAATTATTTTATCTGTATTGAGAATCTTTTTATTTTGTTAATTTTGGATTAAACGGACTTCTTAACCCGATTGGACAGGCCTATACTAAGTGAATTTGGACAAACCTGTAAAAGCAACAACGAATACAACGAATAAACAACAAATTAAAGATGCAGACTTTTGACAATTCATGTCCGTACATTTTTTTTAAATATACATAATATGAATGACATCCTGAATACCTCTTACACTGGGTTTAGCTGAGATTATTGTATACCATATCCAATTTTTAGTTAATAAAATTAGACAAGGTTAGCAAAAACATAACTCGTAAATTTAGGCAACTTATATCATTCCATACCAACTACTATATAAACACTTTCCAAGTCAATAAACCAACCTCAAAGACCACCAAGGACGAAGTGATTGACCAATCATAGGACACTACTTCATTACGAAAACAAGGGTTTATTGGTCAAGGAACTGTCGCAACAATCATCAAGAACATTGTTTAATTACTAAACAAGCATTTGAAGCAGATTTCTATCTTCCGATAGCATATCATGTACACACTACCGGCGTTATCCAACCATATTGAATTGTTTCTCCGATAACAGGATTACTTAAAGACTTTGACTTTAAAAACTTCTGCACTGTCATGAGCTGAGAACACATTGTCATGACTGATGAAAATCGTATTCCATGTTGCAGTTTGTGTGTTGGTGAAATGTGAGAAAGTATACTTTCATATCAAGGACGTTGAAAAAGAACGAACATAATGCCACTTAGAAACGATGGAAGCAACAAAATCTTCTTCCTAATCGTTCTCTTCATTACTGAAGGTCGTGTTAATTCTGGTGCACACGTCACTTGATGCACAACCCTCCTCTAAACGCCCCTGTCCTCTGCTTTCTTTATGGCTTGTGGAATTGTCAGGCCGGTCAGTTTTACACCATCCAACCACCGGGTAGGTGAATGATCACGAGGTCTTTTCCCGTTAAACTGACCAACAACCACAAGCAAAAAATGTCAGTAGTTTTTTTCTGTGTGCGTGTGTGGTTACCACGGTACCGGACTTAAGAAAATGACAGATGTCCTTCGTGTCAATGTGTTTATGTTGTGCATGTAACTCTTCAGCTAGCTAGGTGCTACAGTCGTTCGGCTCGAAGTGCAGGAGTAGGAACGGGCTTTTAGTCAGTAAGAGTCTGACACTCCCTCTCGCCTCACCCGGGCGGGAGAAGTCATTGGATGATTTTCCCCCTCAAAAAAAAGGTGCTACAGTCGTTGTTTCAGGAGACTGTGTTCATTTTTTTTCAACGTCCATGCTTTCATGATATACCAAATTTAACAAAAACTTAAAGCGTGTCACTACAGATAATGGGAACTTTACTTTGCCATAGTGAATGTCATGGTCATGGCATGGTATAATGGTATACATCATATATTTTCTATTAATATTTTTTAATCGACTGCCTTAGCATAGTCCGTACATTTTTTTTAAATATACATAATATGAATGACATCCTGAATACCTCTTACACTGGGTTTAGCTGAGATTATTGTATACCATATTCAATTTTTAGTTAATAAAATTAGACAAGGTTAGCAAAAACATAACTCGTAAATTTAGGCAACTTATATCATTCCATACCAACTACTATATAAACACTTTCCAAGTCAATAAACCAACCTCAAAGACCACCAAGGACGAAGTGATTGACCAATCATAGGACACTACTTCATTACGAAAACAAGGGTTTATTGGTCAAGGAACTGTCGCAACAATCATCAAGAACATTGTTTAATTACTAAACAAGCATTTGAAGCAGATTTCTATCTTCCGATAGCATATCATGTACACACTACCGGCGTTATCCAACCATATTGAATTGTTTCTCCGATAACAGGATTACTTAAAGACTTTGACTTTAAAAACTTCTGCACTGTCATGAGCTGAGAACACATTGTCATGACTGATGAAAATCGTATTCCATGTTGCAGTTTGTGTGTTGGTGAAATGTGAGAAAGTATACTTTCATATCAAGGACGTTGAAAAAGAGACGAACATAATGCCACTTAGAAACGATGGAAGCAACAAAATCTTCTTCCTAATCGTTCTCTTCATTACTGAAGGTCGTGTTAATTCTGGTGCACACGTCACTTGATGCACAACCCTCCTCTAAACGCCCCTGTCCTCTGCTTTCTTTATGGCTTGTGGAATTGTCAGGCCGGTCAGTTTTACACCATCCAACCACCGGGTAGGTGAATGATCACGAGGTCTTTTCCCGTTAAACTGACCAACAACCACAAGCAACAAAATGTCAGTAGTTTTTTTCTGTGTGCGTGTGTGGTTACCACGGTACCGGACTTAAGAAAATGACAGATGTCCTTCGTGTCAATGTGTTTATGTTGTGCATGTAACTCTTCAGCTAGCTAGGTGCTACAGTCGTTCGGCTCGAAGTGCAGGAGTAGGAACGGGCTTTTAGTCAGTAAGAGTCTGACACTCCCTCTCGCCTCACCCGGGCGGGAGAAGTCATTGGATGATTTTCCCCCTCAAAAAAAGGTGCTACAGTCGTTGTTTCAGGAGACTGTGTTCATTTTTTTTCAACGTCCATGCTTTCATGATATACCAAATTTAACAAAAACTTAAAGCGTGTCACTACAGATAATGGGAACTTTACTTTGCCATAGTGAATGTCATGGTCATGGCATGGTATAATGGTATACATCATATATTTTCTATTAATATTTTTTAATCGACTGCCTTAGCAGATACAACGATATGTATACCCAAATAAACTTATATAGGCCCTATCTTTTATTATGAACTCAGCTTTAATCTTTATCGCATGCAAAAGTGATGTTCCGTACTAAATAATTAAGTCTTTTATAGCACTATTTATTTCTCAGATCTTTTACAACTAGACTTTACAGTCAATTACACTAAAATGTCAATAACTTTGATGCTCGATTTTATTTATTTATAGTTATATACTGATGCTAAAAATTGCTTTTAATATTTTATTATATTACAATACAAAGATATAGAATTATGGATTTAATGTCCGTCTGGTAGTTATTTAACAACATTAGACACGTATTTTTTACTTTCTTACGGAAACGAATAGTTTCGAAGATTTATCGATTCGAAATATCGCATGACGTCACTTTTGAGTACGATTTATACTCTAAAATGACGTAGCTACCTCCCACTCCTAAACTTTGATTCGTTTTATCTAAGTATCGTTTTCTTATACGACATAAAAAATACGTGTCTAATATTTTTTCATTATCTAACTGACGGACTAATTTTAATACCCTGTCATCATCCCTATTGACTTAAAATAGAGATGATGTCTAACGGGAAATTCTTGGGTACAACTAGCTTGTTACTTTGTATATAACTTTATAAAAGTTTAATACCTATACTAAATGTGCAATTTTGTTAAAAAATCTCTTGGCAATTTGGCAATATCATTGTTATTGAGTTGAAAAATAGGAGGACGTAATGACACCTAGAAATGACTGAAGCACCAAAATCTCAGTGGTGTATAGATATGTGTGTGTGTATTGTCTGTAACTACGTATTGTATGAAGTGATGACGGACCATGTCACGCAACAGATGTCCTGGATGTCTATGTGTGTGTATTCTGCGTGTAGGTCTATAGTAGCCAAGTGCCACAGCCGTTGTTTCAAGAGATTACATGTCCGTTTTTCTTGTAACATCCTTGATTGAGTCTCAATGAATTGAATTCCAAACTGAATCTTATACACACTTTTGGCGGGAATTATTTCGAGGTTAGTTTTCCTTGTTACTTATTTTGAAAAAAAGGTGCATATTTTTATTATATCACTAACGAGATAGTCGTAACGTAAAATTCATAAACAAGCTTTCCATTGAAAAAAGGAAGTTAATTCTGTAAGGTTAAGGTTTTCTTTCTTTTAGTGAAAAATAAACACGGTACCGAGTTAGTACGGCCATGAATCACCGTGGTCTAAAACTTTGATTGTTACTTGAATATTTATACCTTATCAACATATGTAAAGAATGCAGACCATTTAAAGGTAGTCATTGAATATCAAAATATAACAAATTACTTTTAAACATAATTGTCATCATTCGTTACTATGCCATGGAATTGAACCTCGGTTTGTCTGTTCATATGTGAAAATACGTTTTTCATGATATCATTTCTCTTAAACTGAACTAAAGTAATGTACAATTGTTAAGTACATTACTTTAATTACATATATGTTTTTAGCAATAAAAATAATAGTAAGGAATTGATTATTGATAGATCGCGGAGTGGATTAACATTTATTAAACATTTCAAGTTTCAACTCCTGAAGATTCAAGCAAGATGTAATAAATTTATCAAGTACTTTACACACTAACTCTTTGGAAATGTGGCCGCTAGTGCGACCACACGGCGTGATGTTGTGTCATGTTATGTTATGCATTTTACAGTAAATATATCTTTAGTTTATAGAATTACAATGCTAATTAGTTGTATATCATAAAACCAAACATCTATCTATTAAACAATACAAATATGAAAAGTAAACTGCAAATTACAGGAAGCACCAATACGTATCTAATCTTATTAAACAAAAATACCGCTTAATCAGGGGAAAACCAGCAGAGGTCAGCTATTGCCGACATGGCAACATAAAAAGCACGATTGACATATTGCCATTATGCCACAAAATCACAAAAATAAACACTCACCATTATTTGTCAACAAAACGGGCACTGACACAAAAGTCAATAAATAAAAACACAACACAACCGAATGACACAAACACTGACTTCTGACTGTCAATGTATCACCGAGTAAGGAGTATGATTAATAATGATTATAAATTGATAAGCGCCACTCTACGGACAAAGATTATAATTTTAGTAGATTGCGCACGCGATTACCGTATTAAATTCTGATTAAATCAGTTGATGAATTAAGTGCTGAAGTATTTCATAGATTCCTGAATGTTGTTCGTTAGAAATTGTGTGAAAATAATAACCTTTGATCTAATTCTAGTATTTTCTTTAAGATAAGGTGGACTGTCAATTGTTTCGGGGGCAGCTATGAATTTAATCTTGGTAAAAGTATTACGGTAAAGACCATAGAAAAAACAGTCTACAAAAAATTTTTAACCATTTTTAAACCATGATCTTATAGTATTTTCTTTAAAGAAGCACATGTATACAGAAAAGGACAACAACATTAATTGGCTTATTATTAAATCGGATTTAAAAACTGGAGATTTTGATTGATTGATTGATTTATCAAAACACCGAAAGAACCTTGCTACTTTTAAAAGACATTATTATAAGATAAGAGAATCAGTACTACTTCAACATTTTTAAATTACTTTTAATGATTATAAAAGGCTAAATAAATGGCCATCCCATTCATAAACTTGTCATTATCAGTTTTGTGTTAAATGGTTTATTTAAGTTACAACCATAATGCAACATGATACCCTTTTCATAAGTAAAAAAGAAACAAATAAAAAAGAGAAACATTTATTATGATTCTAAATTAGAATATGAAATGAAAAAAAAAATCCACAGATATCGGTGTAATATCTGTGGAATTTTTTTCCGTGCGTAACTTGCATTGTATCAATCATGATAACTAACCTCTTTAATAATTTATTATGAAGTTACTGTCTTGAAAAAATTAATAATAAATTGGAATTTCGTTGCTATTTTAAAATTACAAACAATTAGAATATTAATAATAATTTTAATATTTTTTTGAAACAAGATAACACGCTCAATAATTGTATGAATAGCACAGTTACAATACAGAATATCCTTCAAGATGTACAAATTACCTGTAATTTAAACACTATTGGCACCATATTAAGTTCTATTTACTTAACAGTATTCTAATGTTTCGTGTACACTCATAGTTTACTTGAATACTTGGAAACAACTGAAGGTGCACGTGTAAATAACTAACACCTTTTTGGTTACACAATAATACTATTGTAGGCTCTAAGTAGGTTGCGTTTGTATTTGCCAATCTTCTTGATTGGTTCGGGGTTTTACAGTTATAAGGTAAGGACTCACGGCGCGATTTTCTCCCGCGCCGCCGCCGTGGTTGCGGACCCGCAGCCTTTGTAAAATACATTTCACGGCGCGTTTTACGCCCGCGGCGATCGACTAGCGGGCGATCGCAATAGGAGGGCCAGTCTGGAACTCAACTGATTGTTTAACCACCCGCGCCACCGTGCTATAAGCAACCGCCAAGTTTGCGAGCGATAATTAATCGCAACCGCGGGGGCTGCAGGATCGCCGCGGCGGGTGCGGGAGAAGATCGCGTCGTAATTCCTTAGCCATAGTATTTGTCATCTGTAACCACAGAACATATAAAGAAGGCTAGAAAGGAAATAGTTCCTGATTTGTATTAGAACACGCGTTGCCGTTTGTCCCCCACTCTTTAACTTTACTACAAGCAAGAGACCAATACCTACGCGGAAAATGCACACAAATAAACAACACGCACTAGGTTAAATGATTTGTTATTGGTCGTCACACTGACGCAATCACTTCGTTTGACATACACTAATACAGGCGTAAAAAACTCATATATGGTAGAGGGAGCGAAAGGTCGATTATTGAAATCGATAAAATTAATGGCATCTAGCTTCTTAATTTACATGCATTGCGGACCATGCGGATTTGTATAAGGCATATTGTGTAAGTACATGTATTTACGTTAATGTAAATAACTATACATAGAAAAATACATAACTGATTTTTAAAATCAATTACACTATTAACATTAAAATAATTTGACATGGAATATAATTATAAGTAAATTGTTGATTGGTAGTAATCAAAAAAGTATAAAAAACCGAAAAGGTGTTATGTCGATTTTGTTTTGTTTTCAACTGTAAGTTTTATAAAAATAAAAGGAGTCCGGGAAGTCATGGGGTCAAAAATAATAGATTTTTACTTAATTCAAAATATATAAAAAATAGCGTAATTTCTCCCTATGGAATGAAAAATCATAAAATAATGAAATATTGAGAATTATCATAACGTAACCATATCATGATATATCTAATCTGTGGTCAAAACTCTGTTATTGTCTCTGTTAGATATCATCATGACATTCGTATGATGACAACCGATAATCGTCGTTCGTATTTCTTTAATAGTTAATATAAATAGGAATTATTATATAGTTTCGGTTACATAATTTCCTTTACTGAATGTGAGTGGTGTGCAAATTAACTTAGAAAGTACGTATAAGTTGTATGAAACAGCGCCGCAACCTCCAGGCCAACACAATATTTTAGCTCACGTAAATTAAGTCAGCTCTGAAAACTAGAAAAGTCATCAGGTGTACATAGCTATTCTTAAAAAAGGTACAATACAATCGCTCCCAGGATATAATGTCATTTTTTTGTTGTCATAGCTTTGTTCTCGAATAGAAAACCTCAACAACTATTTTAAATTATTGACTAAGATTTCGGCTGGCTTTTAAGAATTTTTCATAGTTTCAACTATTTACAATTTGGGCCTAAGCATGTATGAAAGAGTATTCATCTTACGAAAAATGATTTAGATGTCGCTTAGATGATATCAAGGTAGAAATGTAAAATAATTTCCTAAATCATAAAATCAGTCTACTTACTGAACAAAACATAACGAACACATAAAAATTATATAAATCTGAAATACGAATAAAATGCCTCACTTAAAACCTATTTCATAATTAGTCGTAATAAATAAAATTATTTTAGTTATAATGTGTATAATTTGATAATAATCCTTTGAATCATAGTAATCATCGACATTGTTTACAAATTGACACTTCTCTATATCGATTCGAGAAAATGACGTTTTAATTTGATACTCGGAACTCTCGTTGTGAACGTAATACATTGCGCGATCGTTTATGTAGTGCAAAATGGTACGTATCTATTGCAAGCAATGTATACTGCTTGCGATAATGTCGTTTTTGTCTAGAAACGTCATAATATTAATGTTATAATTACAAATATCACAAGTATATTAATGTTTTTAGAGTCAGTGGTGGAAAGAAATCCCTTGTCGTGCTACATTGCACACCTGTCTTCTTTTCCGACACATTACAATAGTCCAAGACGGAATAATTTAATATTATTTGCGGAGTTTCGTACGCTGTCACAACAACATTGCGTTTGATGGCCGGTTTTTGACATTTTGGTAGACTCAGAGAATTTGATCATAACCGCGGCACGCGTGTACCGCCCACAAGGCCGTTCTATCCTCCTTTATATGTTCTGTGTCTGTAACTATGGAAAATAAGGTTAAACAGACCATTATAAAAAAATGTCGTGCATTTGTCACCATCCCTTTTTTCCCGCGGGCTTGGGCTGATTAAGGAATTTCACCTATGATAGTGATTACTATTAGGTAGTAGCGATTTCTGATAAACCCTAACCTTTTGAAATGCAATATTCAATACACGAAGTGTGGCCATTGTGGCAAACCCTCTAAAGTATAGGAAGCCCATAGCCCATTTTCGGCTTGACGCGGCTCACGGCCTCACAGAAAACCGACGTGAAACAACGCTTGCGTTGTGTTTCGTCGTATGAGTGAGGTTACCGGAGGCCCAATTACTACCTCCCACCTCCCAACAATCCTCAATTTCCTAATCCCGGTAGCGCACATGAAACACCTCTGGTGTTTCAGGTGTCCATGGGCGACGCCGAGTGCTTACCATCAGGACCACCTGAGTCGGTAAACGAGCATATGGATCACCGTATGCTCGTTTACCGACTGAATAGACTGTCAAGGGCTTTGATGTAAGATGTGATTTACAAAACTGCATTTTTAGCTTCACAGGTCGAAAATATAAGTATAAATTTGAGCAATAGCAAGGGTGTTACAATTTATTGGTCTTTTGTCCCTTAAGTCTCTTAATTATATCGTCGTACTTAATTATAAGCTACTTAACCTGAAGAATGAAACTGAGGACCTTGTCCATTTGATATGGCTACAAGTACGCAGTTAAATTTCAAAGTCGATCCGTTCAGTGGAAAAGTCGTTTATGAATCATTTTTTGCCGCAAATATGAAATCAATAAATTGATTGGATTTATATCGAGATTACGATAATTCCGTTTGTTACACTTCCAGTAATAATTGCTTAAATAACTAGATAACCGTGAGTCGCCTGTAAACCAATTATAATGAAAGAATTACAAATTCTTATGAATTTATAATTTATGAATTAAAACTTCGCGAAGGATTAGCTACCAAAAATAAGGGCCACGTTTTATGAACGAAACTTTTTTTTTATGGCATAAGCCGGTAAACGAGCAGACGGATCACCTGATGGTAAGCAATCGGGGTCGCCCATGGACAACTGGAACACCAGAGGCGTTACAAGTGCGTCACCGGCCGGGATTAGGAGTTTGAGGATCGTTGGGGATTCAGGGATTGGGGAGATCGGGGAAGGGGAAGGTAATTGGGCCTCCGGTAACCTCACTCACACGACGAAACACAACGCAAGCGTTGTTTCACGTCGGTTTTCTGTGAGGTCGTGGTATCACTCCGGTCGAGCCGGCCCATTCGTGCCGAAGCATGGCTCTCCCACACTTTTTTTTTGGCTATGTGAGTACTTAAGAATAATATTTTTTTTTAATTTTGAGTGGCGCCGCTGCATTCTTAACAGATTTAATTGAATATGATAGGTTGGACTGTCAACCAGAACCTTAACTGGGTAAGGCACTGGTTTTTTTTAAGGCTGACTGTCTTAATGACGGATGACGGCAACCTGGACCCATTAAAATAATTTTAAAAACACTTAACCGTGAACTCAGAACTTGAGTATGAGTAATAAATATGAGTAGGTATATTTGTTATTTATACTTTAAAGATAATTTTTGTCACTGTATTGATTAACTGTCTATAAATAGATGAAACGTTATATTTTTATCATCGATAGTTACGTGATTCAGCAGTACATACTGCTTATTACAGTTTTTTTTATTGTTCAAGAAGTGTACAAAGTGAAAATGCGTATAATATTTTGGTTATCATTATTGAATAAAATAAATATAACATAACATAACATAACATAACATCACGCCATTTCATCCCCGAAGGGGTAGGCAGAGGTGCACATTATGCCACTGTACAATGTAACACCCACTTTTCACTATTTATGTTATGAGTCCCATATAATAGGGGGTGCGCCTATTGCCATATACCAGGTACATTTCTAGACTCCATGCTACGACTGACATTTCAAAAACCCAGTAATACTTTGTCCGAACCGGGAATCGAACCCGAGACCCCTTGCCCGGCAGTCGCACTTGCGACCTCTCGGTCAGGCAGTTCTTAAAACAATAATATACATAGGCACTGACTCTTTTTAACTACAATAATATTATTTACTACAGAAATAAAACCATATTGATTTCAATATACGGTACACCCGTGAGAACAGTTTGTTGCAAACACAATAATCACACAACTCTAATTGACTGTGAAGTTCGTTTGCGTCGTTACCGACTGTTATGAGCAGCACTTGTCTTGTGAGGTTGTTTATACTCTTTTCTCTTATTTGTATATATGCACATGTACCTCTATATGAATAAAAATTAATTTCCGTTCGTTGGTCTCGCTAAAACTCGAAAACTTCTGAACCGAATTGGCTAATTTTGGTCTTGAAATGTTTGTGTTGGCCTCACCCAGGCGGGAGCAGTCATTCAATGATTTTCCCCCCTTAAAAAAAACCCATCGGGGATAAATGTTATGTTTGTATGTTTGTTTGTATAACTTGTTTGGCGATACATTTATCATCTCCCCTTTCTTACCGCGGGTATCATTACAGCCGACTAAACGAAAGTAATACATACTCAACAAAGATTAGGCAGCAGTGTTTTCTTATAAACCTGAACCTTTTCTTCACCCGATCATCCAAGTGTGGAGATTATGGCAAACCCTATTTATAAACCCTAAGGGAGACCCACAAAACTGCCTCGTTGGCCGAGTTGCCGGGCAAGGGGTCTCGGGTTCGATTCCCGGGTCGGGCAAAGTATTACTGGGTTTTTTAAAAATCTCAGTAGTAGCACGGAGTCTGGAAATGTGCCCGGTATATGGCAATAGGCTCACCCCCTATTACATGGGACTCATAACATAAATAGTGAAAAGTGGGTGTTACTTCTATGTGCACCTCTGCCTACCCCTTCGGGGATAAAAGGCGTGATGTTATGTTATGTTATGTGACCCACAAAATAGGGATAACCACGTTGGAGTTTCACAGAAAGTTAGATGGTGATGATATTCTATGTTTATTATTGAATGCCTTATTGGTATACAGCCATCGCAAACGTGACTGTCAAAGCGTGAGGTATAATCCAAGCCAATATTGGAAGTTATAGAATTTTTGATTTGAAAAATCTTACTAATAGCATCGAATTTGTAGATGTGTTTTACTTTAGAATGTTTAAAGGGGTTGTAATAGATTCATTTCTAATAAAAGTGTCCTCTAACGATACAAATAGAAACTTTTGTCAAACGTACCTATCTCCCGCTCTTTGCATGTGTGGAAAATGTTCACTAGATGGCATTACTGGTTGCTATTCTACAAAGAGTAGTTGCTGTTCTACAGAATAACCGAACTTGTGCATCGGCATCTTGTTGTACCTTTCCTTATGTTCTTAGAAGGCTAGGCAGAGATGTGAGAGAGTGTACGCAGGGTTAGGCGTATATTGTGGGAGTATTATCATTATAGCGTTTAGATTTATTTGACTTAAAATTTCACTGATACTGATGTTGGAAGTTGATAAATATGGCAATTTTATTCGGGGTGTTCGCAGTATCGAATGAAATTACAATGTTGCAAGTAAGTATTAATGCTATTAGTTAGGAAATTGAGAAACAAAGAATGGTACAAAGCACACCTATTAACAAGTTACTGCAGTACGGTGTATGTACACACGGCCACACATCAATCTATACAAAACCAGTTTATCCTGGTGTTCAGTTTATATTGGATATGTAAAGCTCGATGTGTAGCCGTGTGTACCTATGACTCAGCCAGTGGTCACCCCATATTAGTTACATGGGCTATGTGATTTAACCGAGAAATGTGAACATTACATCTAACAATCCCATCCTAGTTTATTTAAAGAATTATATTTGTCAAAACAGTATAAAAATGAAAATACATTTCCACTTTAGACTCCGAACAGTTGTAAAAAGGTCAAATCCAATTAACAAGAGACTGCAGTAAGCTCATCCGACGTTACGTAATGAATAAGTAAAAGAATTAACTTCCTAGCATTGTCACTAACTAAATAATATTCTTTACACAACTTATAACAAGTTCGTTTCCAATCTAACTTTTCGTTTATCGTGCAATCCATTATTTTTGTTTAAGAAAGCGAATACTTTGTAAATTACGTACGTAGCTACGGGCGAAACAAATGCCGAAGTTGTTTCTTCCTTCATTTGGATGTAAATAATAGAAATTATACTCGCTTACTTAATGGCTTGCTAACAAGGTTTTAGTAACCTTGAGACTCTATTTTGATTATCTATGTACTAAGATGTAGTATTGAATTGTCTTATTGTATGTCGGCGGAAGGTGATCTCTAGATGCGTCTCACCTTAACCAAGTTCATAAATTATGTTGATCACTATGATAGTTTTAGTACGTAAGTTAAGTCGTACAATCCTTAGTGTGTATCCCCAGCAAGGACATTGAAAAAAAGGCGGACACAGTCTCTTGAAACAACGACTGAGGCACCTGTGCCTTTAGCCAAACGCCACTTTAGCGCTTGTCTTCTGAGAGAGTTCAAAACTAAATGTACGGGGATGATACTGACAAGTGTCAAAATTTACGTCAATTCCATATAAATTGGTTTTCTATTTTACATGTAGACAAACGCTAAATGGCATTTGGCTGCAGCTGCTGGCTACTATAGACTTACACACACATTGACAGGAAGGACATCTGACGCATGACATGCCCCGCCATTACACTTCATACATTACAATGTTGCAAATACACGCACACATAAATAAACCACTGACATGTTGGTGCTTCAATCATTTCCAAGTGACATTACGTCAGCTTATTTTCAACGTCCTTGATCCTCAGTTAACATTTGCTTAAAATGCGATTGGGATATTAAATGAGTTTTATTAATCATAAATTAAGTCAAATATCTTAAATAACTATCTACTTAGAAGCATTAACTAAAATCGCGGGTTACTCACGTGAATTAGTATACTGAGAAAAACTCTACTAGTTTCGAACCACAGAGGGGTTCTTCCTCTAGTAGTTAGTATTTCTCACGATAGTTATCATAAAAACATACTTATAAACAGTACAGAAGTGACTGCAAGACATATCTAATAATCTTGTACTATTTGCTAATCCGGTAGAAAAAAGTCAACCGACCACCTTGGAAAGACGAGAACTATAAGAAACAAAGCGACTCTTAGATTAACCAACAAAAACCTCTTTTTTATTCTACATAACACTACGCCTATTTAATTCTTAGAGGATAGGAAGTTGTGTACCTTTTGCAGTTATATTATTATGCCCATTGTAATGTGAACTCTTCATTGTCACAAGATGGGTACAATTCCGGATTCTATCCAGCTACTGAGAATAGGGATGAAGGCTTATTTTTTTTAATATATCCGTCGGGTAGATAGCTTTAGAATTCTATGAATGATGGAGTAATAAAAATCTATCGTACTACATCATATTATGTACTAGCGATCCGCCCTGGCTTCGAACGGGTGCAATATGCATGTATTATACATATAAATATTTCTTAAGAACCATTGTATCTATTAAAAAAACACA